AAGATAGCAGGATTCACTGAAATAGAAAACAGAAAAACAACAGAGAAAATCAATGAAACTAGAGTTGGTTCTTTGAAAAGACCAATAAAATGACAAACCCGTGGGTAGACTGAATAGTAAAAAGAAGAACCAAATTACCAATATCAAGAGCAAAGAGACATCATTTCACATCCTACAGATATTAAGGGGAAAATAAGGGAATAATTTTACAATGTAAGCCAAGAAATTTGACAACTTAGATGGCATGGTCAACAAAAACATGAAATACCTAGGAACAAATTCAATGACAAATGTGCATATCCTGTACATGAAAACTATGAAATATTGCTGAGAGAAGTTTACGAAGACCCAGAAAACAGAGAGATGCTATCACATTTGTGCACTGGAAGACTCACCAGTGGGAAGATGTCAGTTCTCCCCAAATTGATCTATAGATTCAACACAATGCCTATAAAAATCCAAAAGGCTTTTTTGTAGAAGTTGACAAGCTAATCCTAAATTTACATGGAAATGCAAAGGCTTTGAAGTATAAAAAGCTTTGAAAAATAACAAAGTTGGAACACCATTACTTATTTCAAGACTTTCTAGAAAACTTCAGAAATCAAAACTGTGATATTGGCCTAAAGAGAGACAAATAGATAATGGAACAGAATAGAGTCCTGAAAGAGATGCACATTTATACAGTCAACTGATTTTTTACAAAGTTGCCAAAGCAGTTCAATAGGGAGAGGAAAATCTTCTATTAAAATTAGGCTGGAACCTCTGGACAGCTATCAGGAAAAAAACAGTATGAAACTTGACTCCCTTTTACAAAATACACAAAACATAATAATTTTAGATAGGTTATAGACCCAAATATAAAAACTAAAATTGTAAAACCCCTAGAAGAAAAAAAGTATTATCTCTGCAACCTTGGAGTTGACAAAGATTTCTTAGAGCACAGAAAGCACTAATCATAAAGAAAAAATAAATTAGACATGATCAAAATCTCCTCATCAGACGATTTCAGACATATTAAGACACATTAAGTAAATAAACAGGCAAAGCACAGATTGGGGGAAAATATTTACAATACATATATTTGACAAAAGAAAGAACTTCTACAACTCAATGATAATAAAATCAGCCAAATAAAAAATGTGCAAAAGACTTGAGTGGACACTTCATGAAGGAAGATGTACAAATGGCCAAAAAATACATGAAAAAGTATTCATTAGGATTAGGGAAATACAAATTAAAACAATAATGAGATACGACAAACAATGAGTATTGTTTTTTTATAGGTGGCTTACACAAGGGTATAACTTTGTCAAAGCTTAGCAAACTATACACATAGAACCTATGCATTTTACTGTATGTAAATTATGCCTCACTTTAAAAAAAAATAAAAGGGAAAAAAGAACAGTGTGGCACCAAAAGTTGTTTGGAAACTCCATATTTAAGAGGAACTCACATATTTTGGGGAACCCCCAAAATGTCAGTGTCTGTGGTTTTTTTCTCTTGGCCCAGCCAATTTTCAGGAGAAGAATCCTCTTTATCTCCAGCCTACAAGGCAAAAGCTCTGATGCCACCATTCTTGGAGCCAAATGGGGGAAGAGGACTGGGGTCCCACTAGGCTTTCACTTACATCTCCCTGTTTTCACTCCGTGTCTCACCCCTGCTGGTGCCCCTGAAATCAAAGGCTCTGATACGGCTTCTCTAGAAACTCTTAACACCTTTCTCCTGCTGGAGGGGGCTAGGGCACCTGCCAGGGAGGCACAGGGAGGTGGGGGCCATGGAGGGTGGATCCTGGGGTCTTAGCTGCTCCTTAAACAGACCTGCAACTCACCCTCCTGTCTCCCTCCACCACTCCACTTTTAGAGATGTCTGGAGCCTTCTGTTCCTGAAGCTGTCAACATGACACAGGTTGTTTCTCCTTGACCTTCTCTTCTGTAAACAGTAGCCGTTAACCTGTGCTCTGCAAGGTCAGTTTCTACACATCCACCCTCTTTCCTTCTTCAAAAACTACTGACCCATAGCATGCCCCTGGAAGTCCTACTCCTGTATTCTTTGTCCCTGGGGACTTGTACTTTTCTTACTCCATTACCAACATTTCATTGCGGTTGTGGGAGGAAGCAGAAAAAAAAAAGTACGTACTTAATCCACTATGTTTTCCCTGGAGCCACTTAATCTTTTCAAGCCTCTGTTTTTCATACGTACATTGGAGATAATGATGCCTTTCCCCCAAGGTCATTATGAGAATTTAATTATAGACCCGGGCACACAGCCTAGCTCCTAGTAGATATACAATAAATATTGGTTTCTTGTCCCTCCTTTCCTCATTAACTGCATTAGACATCAGCGATAGGCTGGCTCACCACCTCCTACCTTCAGCTACAGGCCCTGTCCCTCACCATTTCCTGATGGGTCTTCCCTACTGCCCACCATCTGCCACTCCCTCCTGGCCCTTTGCAGACTCGCCTGCATCCCCTGAGCACCTGCTGTGTGCCCACCACAGAGAGGAGCATGCAGAGAGAGTTCTGGCCTCTGGCCTCCAGGTGCCCTCACTCTGTGGAGCGCCTTCCTCACCAGTTAAGGAATCCTCTCATTTCAGGGTCCCCTTAGGGGCCACTGGCAAATGAATGGCATCCAAATGAAGGAAGATGACGCTGTCTGCACACACAGAGTGCTCACTCCATGCCATTTTACAGAGGAGGAAACCAAGCCTCGGGGAAGTTAACTCACCCAGTAAGTGGCAGAATCGGGATTCAAGCCTCACTCCAAAGTCTATGCTCATAACCACAGTGCACACTGCTAGTAGGCCCAAGGCCCCCACCTCGCACCCAGCTGTAAACAAAGTAGGAGTGACACAGAAAACACCAGTGGCCCTGGAGGGGCCCAGGGTCCTTGGAGCAATATGCAGCACCATATTCTTAGAAACACTATGGAGACGGGCATGAGGCCCAGGGGTATGTGGACATCTTTGGGAGACAGTGGATGGTAGTGGATGCCTGTCCTTCCCTTACCAGTTGAGACTCAGATAATTTCCCTTTACAAGCCCCTGTGGAATATGTGTAAGCGCCTCATGAGGCATTTGATACAGAGCATCAGCCACTAGGATAAATTCCCCAAGAGGTGATGGGGGATCAGCCCTAAGAAAGGGAAGGGAAGAAGTTTTCATGGAGCATTTCCTACACAGGGCTGGGCTCCTTGCAGTCACTGTCTCGTTTGATTCTCATCAGAACCCTGCAAAGTGGCATTATTATCCCCAATTCATAGATGAGCAAACCCAGGCTTAGAAAAATTAAGTGATTTGTCTGATGTCACATAGCTAGCAACAAACCTTAAGGTGACTGGCCTGCCCCGTCTCCCCAGCCTGGCTGTGGAAGTCCCTGGCATAGCAGCAGGACCAGGCTCAAACTTTGAAAGGCCTGGAGTAGAGGCAGAGGATTTGAGTACTGCCCTGCTCAGACTGGTCCTGCAGACAGCCAGCAGCACTTTATAGGTAAGAAAACTGAAAATGAAAACCAAGTGGCCACGTAACTTGCCAAAGGTCACCCAGCTGTTAGGAATCTTCACATGGTATCCTGCCCTTTGGAGCCTGGGGACTGAAAAAGGAACCCCACACTGGCTTTAAGATCTTCTGAGTTAAACTAATCCTTAATGTCAGATGGTGTTTTAGAACCTGGCTACGCAAAGTGTGGTCCCTATAGCATCGGTGTCTCCTGGGAGCTGGTTAGACACACAGAGTCCCAGGTTCTGCCCAGGGCCCTGAATCAGGGTGCGCCTCCACAGCACCCCTGGAGATCTGTGCGCACAGCCTTTGAGGAGCACAGCCTTAGAGACCACAGAGCCCATTCCTGAGCAGGATCTCTGGGAATCCCTCACTCCCCAGCGCCCCCACCCAGGGGAGGGAGCCATCAGCCCTCATTTTACAGATGAAGATGTGTTCGGAGAGGTCAGGTGATGAGTTACTGGAGGGACTGAGCCCAGCCCTCCAGTCCCACCTTGCCTCCGTGGCTCTGCCACTATGCCTGGCAGTGAGTAGCCCTTGGTTCCTGACCCCAAAGGCCTGGGCTCTCCTCATCCTCAGGCTGAGAGGCAGGCTTGTACCTGCAAGGATGGTGACACAAGAGGTCTTCAAGGACTGACATTCCTCAAAAGCTCCTCTGGGGCCTAAGTGGCAGCACATAGTGTCTGCATCCTGAGAGCTGGACTTAGGCTCCTGCGTGGGCTCTTGAGACCTCACAGGGGTCTCTTGTGGGTGCCATGCCTGGTGAGGGTCGGACTCACACCCTCATTATGACCTCTGTACAGGCCTCATGGAGCTCACACGCTCTGGCCAAAGAGCAGGGTTTGGAGGAAGCAGACCTGGGCTTGAGTCATGGCTCCTTGGGCAGACCACTTCCCCCAACCCTGCCCCTGGCCTCAGTTTCTTCATCTGTAAAATGGGAATAATGATCTTCCCCTTCTTTCTCCCAGGGAGGCTCTGAGATTGAAGGAATGAGGTGTTCTATAAACAAAAAAGCTCTGAATGACTATTCCCTCCCCATCTCACCTTAAAAACACCTGCCCCCTCTCACCTGGCCTGGCTGCCAGGCCTGGGCCAGGACTCTGAGCTGACCACTGCACAGGCTGACGGATACAGCCCTGGGCTGCCAAGTCATGGGATGAGTTGCCCAGCTGTTGTTGCCTTAGCCCAGACCAGTAGTAAGACCAGAGTCAGGAATGAGAACTAGCAGAGTAGGGTGCCAGGCCCTGCAGCCACGTCAGTATACAGAGCACCCCTGAGGCACGCCCACGAAATGCAGTTTATGCGGGTCTCACAGCTTTAATGACAAGAGTCTCAGCACCTGGGAGGGAGACTTTTTCCACTGGATAGAGCCTTTCTTTTCAAAGTATAAGAGGAACACCAGCCCTCCACCTGAGGGCTGAGGTCAGACCTTTGCAGGGAAAGAGGTTGAAAGCTGAAATATGTTTCCTTTCCTGGGCTTCAACCCATCGAATCTCTAGAACATGCCACCCACCCACTCAGTGCCTCCACTTCGGTTACCTCATTTAATCCTCACAACAACCTGTTGAGATGGTAGGTATTGTTATTATTATTCTCATTTTGCAGATCAAAAACAGAGGCTAGGCCCCTCCCTTATCCAAGGTCACACATCAGTAAGAAGTCAAGTCAGGTAGAAACCACTGCAGTTTGGACCCCCATGCTCCTGCTCTTTCTCAGACTCCCCACGGGCCGTTACATTGTCATTGGCCAGCCCTGGGCTAATGCCTCCCTGCAAGGTTGAGTGAGGTTTCCCTGCCCTTCACTCCACCTCGTGGTCCCTGGTTCCCTCAAGAGTGGGAGACCACAGTGACATGGGTACACACCCTTGAGGACAGGCGCAGCCTGACAGGCAGGGGCCACGGGCTGGCACACTCAGGTTCAGCAGCTGCTGCTCACATGTCCTCTCTCTGCTCAGCTCAGGGTCAGTGTGCCGGTCACTGCAGTTCACAAAGATCTGGCCCACTGGGCAGGCAGCAGCTGGAAGAGAGGAGGGTGGGTGCTGGAAAGAGCTTGGACACTCAGCAGGACACTCAGAATAGCTGAGCCTCGGGGGTGGGCGCCTGGATGGCAGGGGTGGCCAGGGAGACCTAGGGACCCAGCATCTGGAGGATGCGGGAAGAGCTGGGGCTCTGATGCCCCCTCGTGCCCTGGCTGCTCCTGAGGCAGTCCTGGTGTTCCCTGATGCACATCTCAGAGGGAGGGAGGGATGTGGGCAGTCACGCTGTAGGACAAACACTGCCACTAGCACTACCACCACCACCAGTACCATGTCCTCTCCGGGTACCATTCCAGGCATGTCCCATGCATTTTCTTATTTAATCTTGCAACAACTCTGTGAGGTATTATTATCCCCCATTTTCCTACATAATGGAGAGAAGTCACTTCTGCTTTCAAAGGCATAATAAAGTGAGAGCAAACACCCCAGAGGGACCAGAAAGAGAAGGGACCAGGAGAAGAGCCAGAAAGGAGAGCCACGCAGTGTGGCAGGGTGGGCAGAGGATTTGTAACAACAGGGAGGTCAACTCCCCATCACCTATACCTCTGTGACATAACCTCGCTCTCTTCCGGAGCCTTCAGTCAGGTCACCATGCACACTTACACCTAGTGTGAGGGATCTTATTTAGGGAAACCAGTAAAAGGGAGCTGAGTTCCATGCCCAGTCTGGCATGGAGCAGAGTGAAAGAAATAACCCCAGGAGATGAGACAAAAGCCCTAAAGAAGCAGAAATCTAAAGCCAGAGCAACAAAAACACTTTCAGGAATATACACAGAACAGGGAGAGAATACATCATTCTAGGTTATATACAAAAGAGGAAATGAAGACTCAGGGAGGTGGAATGAGTCACCCAAGGTAGCAAGCTAGCAAGCACTGGGCACGACTTGAACCCAGGGCTGCCTGACTCTGGAGGCCTTGCTCTTTGCCACCTGCCATATCATTTTTCTCCAGGCCCTCTGTGGTAATCCCCATCCTTAGCGACTTCCTCTGCCCCACGAGGCCCTCCATGAAGGCTCCAGCTTCCTGCTCTGCCACTTCCACGTCCCTCACAGGCCAGCCCACCACTATGCCACCCTACCACCCTCGTTATTGCCTTGGCGAATCTCAAAGGCCCGGGATATCTTCCCCATCTCTGTGACATACTCCTTTCCCCCCGCCCCATCCTGCATTCAGCTGGGCAGAGAGTCGGCCTCAGTAGGGCCACGACAGCACAGACCTAGGAAATCCAGAAGGATAAGGTACTGTCTAGACCCCCCAGCTGGTTGCCTCTGAGGAAGCCAGAGGCTCAGCCTCTCCTTGAGGATCCGGAGGGACAGCCACTAGGTGGGGCTGGGACTGGGTCAGGATTTCCAGATGCCACCCTCCAAGCTGGGGCCTTTCCCGGGAGGTGAGGGATTCTGAAGGCTCAGTGTGGGGTAAGACCTGGGGTGGGCTCTCACTGCCCTGATCTGTCCTCGAGCTCCCTACTCTCCTGTGGGAGACTGTCCATAACCCCACTACCATGTGGGACCCCTGAGAAGAGCCCCCCACCCTTCCAATCACCCTTACCCGAGGCTCTGCTGTCACAGCTCATGACTCCATCTTCGCAGTGACTACAGAGAGAGAGAGGGCAGGAACACTGGGGTTAGCTGACTGCAGAGTCCAGACACAGAGCCCCCAGCCACCGCAGGACCCAGGGACCTGAGTCACTCTACTCAGGTCCTCGCAGGGTTCAGAGAGCTATTCCCACCCTGTCCCCGGCTCCCTGCACAGAGCGGGAGGGTGGCTGCTGTTTCATGGAAAATTCTGCTCAGCTGCATTTCTTCACTTAGCACCTTCTGTTTAAAAGGAGGACAATAACGCTGCTACCAAGGGAGCTCACCAGTGGCCCAGAGATGGAATGTCGCTGTCTCCAGGGGGATAGTCCACTCCTTGGAAGTGGCAGGAGCATTGGTTCCTACAAAACCCAGGAGAAGAGAAAAGTGAGCCGACTTGGGAACCGGGGCTGGGACTGCCATGGACAGAGACCCACCCCTCAGCCAGCCAGGCGCATAAGGACACAGAGAAGAGGAATGGCATCTCCTGTGACATGTGACAGGCAGTGGGGAAGCCAGCCTGGCACCAGGGACAGAGGTCAGGGCTGGGTCCTACTCTGGGGCCATCCACAGGCCTACTGGTCTCTGTCCGCTCCTGAAGCCAAGCTTATATGGACTGAGGAAGGGAGAGACGGTAGGAAAAGGGCCACACTTACTGAGCCTATGCGGATGTTCTTGCACGTCATTCATACCCTGCATCTGTTGGGATAGCTCAGTGCCTACAGCACACCGATTGCTAAATATTTTGAACACCTGGCTAGGTCCCCCAAACGCGCCATCTCATCTACTCCTCAAAGGTCCTGTAGGTTGGGGATTGTCCTGCTATCTTTCGGCTTCTCTTTGTAGCTTATCTGAAGACAAAGACTGCATTTCTTCCTCACACACCTCCCACTGCACCTGCCAGTTGTGGCCAAGTGCAGGCCCTGGAGCAGAGCAGTGAGGGCTGGAAGGGACATCTGAACTCATTCAGTCCCTCCCCACACAGTCCTCGGAGGCTGCCCTCGCTGGCAACACTCAGGCTCAAGGGGCGGGGCAGGCGCACAGCTGGATCTCTGGGGAGGATTCTGTAGTTTGAAAAGGCCTCTGAGTGATTCCAGTATACCCCCCCAAAGGGGTCTCTATCCCACCCACACCACTCAGCCCATGTGACACCATTTTACAGATGGAGAAACAGGCCTGGAGGGGACCAAGGGCCCTGCCAGTCAGCCGTCGGGTCCTGGGAGGTCCACCTCCCCTCTGGCTCTTCCCTCCAGCCACACTGACATCACTCCACAACTGGGCCTCAGGGTATCCCTGCATCCCCTGGTCCCCTCTGCCTCAGGCACTCTCCCCTCACTTCCTTTAGGCCTCTGCTCAAATGTCACCTTAGCAGAAAGGCCTTCCTTCCATTCTCACCTCATGCTACGTAACAGCAGCCCTTTCTCCACCCCAGGACACCCTGTTCTCACTCTTCATATAAAGCTTTATTTGGCTTTATAGCTCATTACCCCCAGGCCCTCTAAGTGTCTGTTTGTTTATTATCTGTCTTGCCACCTAGAACATGAACTCCATGAGGGCAGGATTCTGGTTGGTTTGTTGCTGAATTCCCAGAGCCTAGAAATATCTGGAACATGTGAGAAGGTCAATAAATATGTGTGGAAGGAGAGATGAAGGGAGAGACTGTCTTGGCTCTGTGGAGTTGTTCTGTCTTGTAGGGAAGCTGGGCTAGAGTGGCTTAATTAGCCGGAATTGAGGAAAGAGGCCTGGGAAGAGGGTCCAGAGGAGGGAGCCCACTCAACTGTACCTGCCTTAACCACCAAGGTCTGCCCTGTGACTGTGAGATGAAGCAGGGACGTAAGAGACCCAGTCAGGCCCTCAGTCTCAGAGGCCCTGGGGACCCCCAGCCTCCTCCCCCTCCTGACACAGAGGTCGAGCCAGCCCACTTGCCTGGGGACACAGAGGTCAGTCTGGGTGTCCAGATAGGTGTCTGGTGGGCAGGCACAGCCCTCCACACACTCGTCCCTGCTGAGGTCACCGCCACCATCAATCCCACAGGCTTCAGGTCTGGCCAGGTCCTGGCAAGTTTGTCCACATGGAGCCACACAGGCGCTATACTCCTTGGTGGCCTCACAGGACAGTGCTGTAGTGAGAAATGAAATTATGTCTCCCTTGTCCCCACAACTATGGGGATGAGGTTGTCATCCTGATGAGGCGAACTGGAGCCAGAGAAGTTAAGACACTTGCCCAAGGTTACACAGCAGGCCAAGGTCAGAGTTGGCATTTGAACCAGGCCTACCTCCAGAGTCCCACTGCCTCACACCACACCACAATGGCAGAGTGGCAGGGATGGGCCCCACCTCCCAAGTTCAGCCTGTACCTTGCCTGTGTGTCTTTCTCTGCAAGGCATTCCTCTTAAGTAGTGATATTGGGGGAGGATGGAAGTCACCATCCTCATCAGCCCTACACCCACCTTATCACTCACACATAGACACATGCACAGGTGTGCCTTACACACACACTCCCTCCCCCTCACTTCCAGGGCTAAGAAGATCAATTGCGCCTTTTCTTGGAGCCTCTGGGCCTCTGTCCAAAGACTCAGGGCTGCCCTTTACTCATCTGGCCACCATCCCACTCTGATAGGTTCCTATCCTATCAGAGCCAGGACCTCCCCCACAACTGCCAAACTCAGTTTTTCTCACCCAGGCTGCACATTAAAGCCATCTGGGAAGCTTTTAAAAATGCTGGTGCCCAGCTCCCAGTGCCATATCATTGATACTGGGTGTTGCCCAGAGATGTGTGTTCTTTAAAAGGTCCTGTGGTGAATCTAATGGGCAGCCAGGGTTCAGAACCACTGGTTCTCTGAAGAAGCTTTGACTCAGAGAGGGACGGAGTCTTGCCAAGGACACATGACAGTTCCCAGAGGAACTCAGGCCTCCTGACTCCCAGTACCATGGTTTTTCCATTTATTCAACAACATCTGCTAAAAGCTTACCAGAAATGGGTCCCTGTGCTGGGGAGGGGGCACAGAGACAGCTAAGGTCCAGGGAGGAGTGTGGCCCGGGTCTGGGCCAGGTGGGTAGGGGCCAGCTCATGCCCATGAGCTGCCCATGAACCTGAGGGGCACGGGAGCCAGTGATCTTTAGAAAGCTCACTCTGGCTGCAATGAAAAGAGGCTGCAGGGAAGCCTGTTAGGTGGTTCCAGCTGGGGTGGTGGCGATGAAGGTGTTGTGAAGAGGTGCCCTGGGGACCAAAGGACTGGAAGTGGACTGGAGGTAAGGATAAGAGAGAAGCAGTCAGGTGTCACATGTCCCGGGTATCAGGCCTGGGTGACCAAGGGGATGGGGGCCCATGGCAGAGGTGGAGAGCACAGGGGGAGAAGCAGACTCCCGCCCCAGTGAGGTGGGGTGTCAGGAGATGCGGGGCATCCTAGCAGAGAGTTTAGGGGGGCAGGTGGACACAGGCTGGAGCTCAGGCTCCTCCAGCTCCCCTTGCACAGGAGCACAGGTGCGAGGCACTCACCACAGGCTGGCAGGTGGCCACGGAAGTCAACGGGGAGCCCGTGGCGCCGGCACAGGTGGGTGTAGTGGGCCAGCGTGGCACACAGGCAGGGCTGCCCGCAGCGGCAGGCATCCCGGCGGCACTGCTCAAAGTAGGGCACAGGGCTCAGGTCAGCGGAGCAGGGTGCAAACAGCTCGCCCATGAGAACGCTGCAGGCCTGCACGGCATAGGAGGCTGGAGACGGAAGAATGGGCCAGGGGCCATGGGCCTCGTTTGCCTGGTGCCCCAGGCCCAGCCTTTCCCTTCGTCATCTCAGTTCAGGGTACTGTGTGCGTGAGAGAGAGAGAGAGTGTGTGTGTGCATGTGTATGTGTATGTACAGTGAGCAGGTGCCTGAGTATAGGGCTGTAGGAATGAGTAGGTCTAGTACACCTGCATGCGAATATATGACTGGCCACAGGCCTGTGTACATGCATTTGTGCAATGCATTCCACCTTGTGCCAGGCATGAATCCATAGGCTAGAAGGAGACACAGGAATAAACAAAACAGGTAAAAATCCCTGTCCTTGTGGAGCTTACAGCCTGCTTTGGGGGAGACTGTCAGTAAACAATTTGCACAGAGAAGTAGAAGGTGGAGGCGTTAGGAGAGAGAGAAAGCGGGGGAGTAGGATAGCGAGTGCAGGGTGGCCAGAGGGGGCCATCCTGTGATCTTAAGTCACTCAGGAAGGCGTCAGGGGAAGGTAAGGTTTGAGCTCAAACCTAAGAGAGGTGGAGAAGGGAGGCAGGGGTTTACTGAGGGAACAGCATACCAGGAGGAGGGGAGAGCAAGGGCAAAGGCCTGGAGAGAAGAGCAGCCCAGGCTGGTAGGAAGAACAGTGGGGAGGCCAGTGTGGCCTGAGCAGAGCAGAGGGGAGGGAGAGGAGTGAGAGGCAGGCCCGGAAGAAGGTAGGGCCTGGCTGGGCCGCTGCGAGGGCTCAGACCTTTGCCCTGATATGGGGCAGCCAGTACAAACAGGTGTGCCTGTGACAGCGGAACAAGTTGACGCTTCCAGTCTGCCTAACTCTTACCAGGCAGAGACTCCAGGCCCTTCCCACAGCTCCTCCTTTTCTTATCACTCCCACCCTATTTGACCAGCATCCTCAGGCCCAGGGTTCCCATCCCATCTCTCTCAAACCAATCTCCCTGACCCCATTCATCCCCGCCCCCACCCCCAACCCACTCTCCTGCTCACCAGCTTGCAGGTGCACATCACAGGGGTCCAGGGCAGAGCCAGAGGCCAGCGGAGAGCAGGCAGACAGTGTTTTCCAAGAATTGCCAAACAGTTGTGGGGTGCTCTCAGGCACACCCACAGGGGACCTGCAGCCATGGCAGAGCCATATTCACTCACTTGCCCATGTGGATGCCGGTGAATGTCCGGCATACACCCAGGTAAGCACCCGCCTGCCCGTATGTATACACACACACACACACACACTCAGAGACACATATGTACCCACCCAAATGTGTAACCCACCCAAACATGTAACATGTATAGGCCATAATACATCACTTGCACACACCCTCAACACACACACACACAGCACAAATATAAGCCAGACATGCAAATGGCCAGGGGGGTTCCACAGAGGTACATTCAACCACATACAATTATGGAAGTTATGATTGCACACATCACATTTAACAGATTCTAAAGGGGCTCAAACTGGGCTTGGGACCACACACTGCCCCACCTTCACCACCCATATCAGAAAGAGAGAAACAGGGACACTATGAAGCAAACTCCACTGAGTTAAGGCTGCCCCCTACTTCTCCATGAGCAGTTCCTGAAAATGTCCTTGCCCTCCCTTTCTCTCTAGGTAGGAAACAGTCATACGAGAGGCAATAAAGGGAGGAAGGGGAAGAAGAGTGTTTCCCAGACAACTTCTGAGAGTCAGCAAACCCAGGTGTAGATGGTAGAATGGAGAGCACAGCCCCCATAGGGGACAGGTGGTGCCAAGCACCCACATCACTGCTCCAGAGCAGTGAGCACTCCAAGCTACAGAGAGCAATATTTTCCACCCAGAGTTCACATTTAGGAAGGTGGCAAGCAGCCCACACTCGAAACTGTCTGCCCACAGCATTCTGGCCAGCTGCCCTAACATCAGCTCCACCAGGCAAAACAGCATAGAATGCTACATGTTTCAATGTACATGCTTTCAATTGAAAGCTCTGGGTTTTTCTTGTTCTTGCCTTTTGAAATAAATCTGAATTCTCATTCCTGGCTACAGAGAGCCTCCCATGGCTCCTTTTGCATACCAAATGCATGTAACTTGAAGGTCTTGCCTTAGAACCACCTTTGTTCTCCTTTCTCAAAGGTCTGACTCTTGTCCTCTCCCAAGTTCCCAAATTGTGTCCATGCCCAGACAGTCTTTTCCTCTCAACTCTCCATCAGTCCACGGGAAATAACCTTCCCCTGAATACAGGGAGACCCACAGGCTCAAACCTCAAGCATCAGGTAGGAAAAGTATATGAGTCAGATGGGCCTGGTGGGATAGAAAGCAGGTGTTTGGGCATCCTTGGCTCACTAGGGGCTTACACTCATCTCAAGTCAACTAAAATAAACAAAACCATGAGCCAAATCAAACCTAGCCTGAGGTCCACCAATTTTAAGACCACACTATAAAACAGTATTTCTCAAGATGTGGATCATAGACCTCATATACTAGAATTACAGTGGTGCTTATCTAAAATGAGATTCTTGGGCTCTAACCTAAATTAGGTTCTTGAGGAGTGGGGCCAGGACTCTGGATTTTAACAAGCTCTGCAGGTGAGTCTTTTGCATAGAGAAGGTGAACCCATGCTTTAGAGAGACATACTTAAATTGAAAGGTAGAGGAATGGATGAATCATCAGTGGAGCATGTGGGACACAGTGAGAGCCCGTGGGAGTTTGAGAGAGGTTTTCAGGCAGTGCCTCTGGATACTCAGCCCTAAAAGGCCCCCACCCCTCTCTTCCTCCAGGGCAGGGGCACCTACAGGAAATCGTCCTGTGTGTTGCCGTTAAAGGTGCCACAGAGGCCCACGGTGTCTTCCACCCATCGCGGGTCCACCTGCAGGTAGAGCCGCAGTCCTTCGCGGTCGTAGAGCAGCCGCACACCCACGTTGGTCTTCACCCACAGGAACACGGAGGACAGCCTCCGGATCACAAAGGCATCTGAGTGCAGAACCGGAAGAGGGGTGTGGGAAGCTCAGCCAACATACACCCCACCCACCCCTGCCACTGCGTTGCGCACTGCCACCCTCATACCCAGCCCAGTCTTCACACACAGTGAAGCCCTGCCTGGGGGACATCCTGCTCAGCGATGCGATCAGGACCCAGGGGTAGTGTATTGTGGCAGCCCTGATTGTGGGAGCTCCTTTAGTATAAAGTGCCATTACAGGAACTTGCCTCCCTAAGCAACTGACCTGTTTCTTTCTTTAGCAAAGGAGAATTCTGTGACTACTCATCCCATTCACGATGGCCACCAGGAAGCTCACAATAGAACTTTAGATTCGATTGTAGCAATTAAAAATTTTATATTCAATTGTAGTGAATTTTACACCCTTTGTGCTTCGCATTTCTTTGGCTTCTTTATACCCCCCATCTTGTATCCCTACTCCTCTCAATCTTGAGCCCCCTTTTATTCTTTTCAATTTTCTCTGGTGCTATTTCATTTTTTAATAGTTTCCCTTTTTTTTTTTTTAGATGTGCTTCCTATAAGCTCCCACAAATCTCTTGTGGAATCAGATAGGATAATAAGCAATGAATAAACAAATAGTGCAAATAAGGATGGCAAACAGCTCTATTCATATCCTAATATTAGCATAAGTCATTGTATTGCTATCACACCTACTATCATGTGGGGTGGGGACAAAGCCCAGACTCTGGAACCAAGGTGCACCCCCCAGCCTGATTTGCCCAGTACTAGAACATGAGCTCCTGCCCACACAGCAGTGCCCTCATTTAGGGGATCCTGGAAGAAGAGGCCTGGGAAGCCAGCTCCCAGTGAGCTCTTGTCCACCAAAGCCATACCGTCTGTGTAAGGTGGGGTGACCTTGTACTGGTCAAACAGAAGGACATCCCCCGCTTGTGTCAGGGTCACCTGCCTCCGAGGGTCCTGATGCAGGATCACCGACACGGACTGGACACAGACCCCATCCTGGTTCTGGAGAGAGAGGAAGGCCAATGGGAAGTTTGTCTGTCCCACTGTTCCCAACTGAACCCTCCAGAAACAGGGATTCTAGTGCAGTTTGAGGCCAGGGGCAGGCTCCTCACAGTGGCAGAGCCCCAAAGGACATTAGGGGTCCTTAGCTGGAGAATGGGAAGGCAGAGGCTCTAACTGGAGGTTAGTGTTAGAGCCGGGACAATACAATAAAAATGATAAGACAATTCTCAGGCTGTGTATGACCCAGAGCAGAGATGTGGATGGCCTAGAGTCGGACCTCAGGAACACTAGCTTCCCACTTGACTGCAATTCTGAGCCTTTAATTTTGTCCTTTTATGGGTATATTATAGCTGTTTCCATGTGTCACATCCTGCAGAGTATCAAACTCTACTCACAGGCAGGCAGAAAATGAACTAAAAGTCTCTGTGCCTCAGGTTCTCATCTCTGAAATGGGTAGCATGCCTGCCCTGGGCCCATTCATACCTCCCTTCCACAGGCAAACATCTACAGAATCATACAGTGATGAATATGACAGATACAGTCTCTGCCCTCATGGAGAATACATATTTGTGTGGGACAGAGACATTAAATAAGTAATTACAAAGGTGGCTATTCAATTATTATTGTGATCAGTGCTGTGCACAGGCGTGGGGTGCTAGGAGAGTAGCTGGTAAAGGAACCAGACTTGGTTTGCAGAGGTAGGGAAAGCCATCCTAGGGAAAGATATAATAATGTAAAAAAAAATCATAACAATACAACTCTCAATAATACTATAATTTATTATAATAATAATAATAACAGCTAACCTTTTTATAAGAGTTGCTATGTTCAGACACGGTTCTAGTATATTTACTCAATCACTATAGCAATCCTTTCAGTAAGTACTACTGTCAACCCCATCTTGCAAATTAGAAAACTGAGGCACAGGGGAAAGGTGACATTTAAGCTGAGATCTGAAGGATGCACAGATGCTCGCTGGGCAGAGAGAAGGGGAAGATATCCAGGCAGAGGGAACAGCCTGTACAAAATTCCCTGACACAGGAAGGCATCTAATGCATTCAAGGACATAAAAGAAGAGGAAGGGGGCAGAGCCCACTGGGCAAAGTGTTTTAAGATAAGGTTCAAGAGGTAGGCAGCGGTCAACTTAGGTAGAGCTCTGTAATATTTTTGGACTTTACCCTAAGTCCAAAGACAGCCAGAGAAGGTGTAACCAGAAGGTGATACAATCAAGCATGAAATAAGGAATGATCAGTGTTTGAAACTTTTCAAGTATTGTGCAACAAGCTACAACCTTCCTTCCAAATTCCTGCCCATGGGGACAGAAAATCCCTGCAACTGCTCAAAACCATTCTGTCTAAACCATCACCTTCTTTGTCAAACCCCCTCATCCTCTGGTCCCCTCTGGACATGTCACTGGTGCAGGAAGAAAGACTACATCCTTTCATCAAATTCTTAGGTTCAAGTCTTGATGTCACTGAAAACTGATACCTTAAAGACCTCTCTTAATTTATCCAGACCTCAGTTTTCTCCTTGTAAAACAGAGATACAACAATACTTGGTTGGTCCTGCCTGGTTTGATGCAGATAAGAAAGTGTGCATGGAATACTTTGTCAGTTGAATCTGCTAAAGCCCAGAGAATTTATAGCAAAGAGTGAACCCTAAAGCATTCAATTAAAAAAACATCATGTAGGAAGGAGGTCAGGGAATCCTGGGATATAATGCAGGCTGTGAGCTCCTGATGATGAGGACCAGCATTTGATTCATCTGTGTACTCTAACCATGCCCAGCACCTCAGCACAGTGCTGGCACAAAGCTGACCCTCCACCATTCATTGGTGCAGAGGAAGTCACAAGAATGAGACCTGGCTCCCAGCAAAAATGAATGTGCTATCAGGATGCACTGTCCAGCTGGGAAGCAGTTTACCCTGGCTGAGGCTGGCCAGCCACCTTTAGGGATGTGGTAGGGAGTGGGTTGAGTAAGGGGCCCCTGGCATCCCACAGCCCTCAGGTGGTATTCTAAGACTCTAGAACTCTGTAAGTGGGAAAGAGCACAGCTGGGCTGTGTCTGTCTTCTTTGCCACTCTTAGGATGTGATGGGAGTGACCTGACTTTTGAGGACAGGTATTCTACTGACTCAGAGAACAGCCGAGGGCAGGGCCAGGCTCTTCTCTGGCAGAGAGAGGGGAGGGGCCGCTGATGCCTAAAGAGGAAGAAACCTCAACCTGGGTCCCCAGGGCCAGGGAGGGGCACCTCCAGCCGATGTCTGCTCACACTCAGGACCCTCCTCAGTTCTGGGAGCTGGAGAAGGCTAGCAGAGGGTGGGATTAGGGGGCAGCACCCTAGCGATGGGTGTGAACCCCTGCTCTATTGCAGGGAGAGCTGGAGTGCAGCCCAAACCAGGGCTGTGGGGTTGGCTGCACACAGTCAGCTCAGGGGCAATGCAGTCACCGCTGAGGGACAAACAAACTCACATCTAGAACATAGCTCAGGGGTCACCTCTTCTAAGAAGGCTTTCCTGGTCCACCCCCTCTTCCCACCTGAGCCCCTGGATGAAAGAAGGAAATGTTCCTTCATGGAGATCTACCATGTACTCTCCATGTTGTCACAGCTCCTAAAATATAGTGGTTTATGGGGTCATGTCTGCCCTACCCACCAAACTGTAAGGCCCAGGAGGGCAAAGGCAGATCTAATTCAACCCAGTCTTTAAGACCCAACATAGCTTCTGGCACAAATAGATGTTTGGTATTTGCTGAATGAGTGAATGAATACAGAGATGTTGAAGGTGCAATCCAAGGAAGCAGAGAAGATCAAGTTGAATCAGACTCATCAGAGATTTTTTTTTATAGCACTGAGGCCCAGGAAAGGGAAATGACTCTCAGCGAATGTTCTAGAGCTAGAACCCAGCCTCCTGCCCCGGGCTCTGCCCAGAAAGAAGAGAGAGCAGAGTGAGTGATCTGTGGAAAGACCTGGAGCCCTGCCCTAAATCCCCAAGCCTTTCTAGGAGGAAGATAGCAGGGTTGGCTGGCTGGATTGGACCTGGGGTCTCCAGCCCTTACCAGGCCACATGGGGCATTCTGCAGTGTCACTGTGAAGGTGCCTGAAGAGCGGCTTTTGGCAAGGATGTACTGGCACGTGGCAGGAAACGTGTACCGGCGGCCATCAAAGGTCGTGAAGTGGATGTCACCAGTCACAGAACACTCAGCTGGGGGCAGAGAAAGATGGCTGACCCATGAGGGCTGCCCCCCAGGGGCTGCCTCTGCCCTGCAGGCTCCAGCATGGGGAGACGGCACCCTGCCTCAGGAATCAGGGCAGTGTTTGGGGCCCTGGCCGTCCCTTTGAAAGCCATGGTCACTGGGGAGGCACAGCCCTGCCCCGGGCATCTCCCTCTGATAGGAGACCAGTGTCCATCCCAGCCCCCCCAAGCACAGGAAGGTCCTTAGATATTCAGGACCCCATGAAAACCCTTCCTGACGGGCTGGAGCCATCTGCTAATTTGGCAAAGTGGCTCTGAAGAAACAAAGGGGTAAGCAGAGCCAATGAAACTGAGTGACCACCCCCGCCCCACCAGCAGGCATGGCCCCAGAGCTTCCCTGCCCAGAAGTTGTGAGGCAAGAGGACTGGGGGGTAGTCCAAGGAGGAGGTCAGACGTACCTGGGCAGACAGATGTGCTGCACACCCACCTGCCTGCAGTGCACGTGCTGGAACACAGACCAACGGGCGGGCTTGGGATGGACGCTGGGGGAGATGCTGGAGGGCTGCAGGGCCCACCGAGCTCTGGCCCCCAGTCCTCAGTCTCCCCATCTCTAAAATGGGTGGTGGAGAGTCTCCCCACAGATTGTACCTAATGATCCTGTGACTCACATATGCTGAGTGAGCGCCCCCATTGTGTCAGGGCTCCCAGACCCCAGATGGACAGCCCTGATGGAAAGCCCTGGAATTCACCTCCCCCACCCCCCCAGCAGTGGACACAGACCAGGCATTGCAGTCTTCTTTCACTACAGAGCCAGTCGGGTACAGGATCCCATGGAACTCACAGGGACACTCAGCCGGTGCCACGCAGCCTCCGCCCTCAAAGATCAGCCCTAGGGTGACAGCACAGTCCCACTTAACTCACCTCCACTCCCGTCCACAGGCCTCCATGGCTCCCCAGGGCCCATGATAAAGATCACCTCCTCCAAACTCTTTCACTACTGAGCCCATTTTCAAACTTTCTCCTGTATAACTCCTCGGCTCAGGCCACATCTGAATCCCCTCTGAGCAAATAATCCTGCCTCCCAGACCTTTGCTTAGAGAATGACCCACCCCAAACAATGTGCATACGGACTACCTCCTCCTCTCAGAAGCCTGTCTCTGCATCTAGAGCCAGCTAAGGTACCACCACCTCCAGGAAGCCTTCCTTGACAATCTCTACCCCCACTGAATTCCTCTATCTCTTCTTGTCTGGCCCCTGAGATGGTCCTCACTATATTATGCCTTAGACTGGAGTCATATGTTTAAGTGTCATCACTGCCAGATTCTGATCTCTAAAGTCAATGACAGTACCTTTGTGTTTTGTTATCCCAACCTCCACCCTAGCTGTACACCATAGATGTGCTGTGAATTTTCACTGTGAAAAAGTGTGTGAGTAAATGTTTAAAGAAACGCATGTGTGATAAATGAATACATGAATGAATGAATGATTTTACCTCATCTGCACAGCTTAAGAAGCTCAGTCCCAGAGAAATTTAATACCCTGATGAGCCTCTCAAGAGCCACGGTCACCTCTCAAGAGTCCCCACGATCCCCTCCTTAAGACATTCATTCATTTATTCACTTAGTTGTTTGCTCGTTCCTTCCTGCATTCCACAAACAGGCATCCTCTGAGCCCTTGCTTCCTGTTCATCAGCACCAGACCAGGAGGATGCTGCCGAGCACCCACTCAGGCCCTAGCATACCATCAGGGCAGTAGCAGCCGTCCACGCAGGCGATCTCACTGTCCATGCAGGACGCCTGGGGCTGGCAGGAGGGGGGGCAGCAGGCGATGCACTCGTTGTAGGTAAAGGCCTTCTCCTTGCAGTGCACAGCTTGAGGGGAAAGCAGCCGTATGGCCTGTCAGCTCCCTACTGGCCCCAGCTCTGCCAGGACCAGCCCAGGCCCTAGCTAAGTCCTGCAGTGGGGGGTGGGAGGACTTTGATTTTCCTGATCCCCTAATCCCAACGGGAACACGGGTGATAAGGAGGTCTCTCCTGCTCAGAACCTCAGTTTCCCCATCTGTCACATGAGGTTGGAGTCTCAGGGCATAAAGCTCTGACAACCCTGGTTCTGAGCAGGACAGGATGTTGAACTGAGGCCTGAGAATGCCACTCAGCCTCAGAACAGAGCTGTCTGAACCCTTCCCTGCCCACCACGAGGCTGCACTTACTGCATTGCCAGAGCTCAGTCCTCCAGCCCTGCAAGGGCCTCCCTGCCTGGGCACACGCCCTAGCATACTCTGCCAGCGCCCGACACCAGGTGACTTCATCGCCCGCTGATCTGTGCAGGACAACCGAGGATCACACTGGTGCAAGGCCCAACTGCCACCAGCCCTCCAGCACCCTATACAGCCTACCAGGGTTCAGGGCTCTGCTCCTTTCCACACAGCTGGGAAATGGAGCCAGGGAAGGCATCCAGGTACACAGATAGAGGCAGGGAATCTGGGTTTTAGTCCCAGCATTGTCACTGACTTGTATGACTCTAAGGGCCTTGGGAATGGGGAGGCTTGTCCATCTATGCAGGTAAGCACCTCACAGCTTTGGGAAGCACACCTGCCAGTGCCTGGAGTTATCAAGCTCAGTGGTTCATGTGCTGCACCCCCACCCCCATACTGGGAGAGGTCTCCCCACAACCCTGCACCAGCCCCACTCCCGCTGCCACTCACTGGCAGAGATCACTGGTACAGCTGGCCGTGAAGGGCAGAGGGCTGACGTAGGCATGGCAGGCTTCAAAGGGGGGCCGCAGCAGCACCTCACACTTGTTGTACACACCCTGGGGCAAGGCCCAGGAGACAGAGCTGGGAGCTGGCAGGGCCTGCACAGCCTTCTGACTTTGCTGGCCCCACATGGAACCCCAACTTGGGCTCAAGGGAGAGAAAGAGGAGGTGGAGAGAAGAGGGAAGGTGCAATGGGCACAAATATCCTGGGCCCCTGCAGCCAGGGTGGAGGTTAAGGGGCAGGAGTGAGGGCATTCTCCCCAGGGTCCTGACCTGCATGGCTCCCAGGCTCTGCTGCAGGCATGGCGGGCGAGGCAGGGAGGAGGTTGTGGGCCCTGGAGGCTGGTTGGGGGCCTGTTCCTGCCAACTGTGCACAAACTCAGCCACGTCTTCTGTCAGCTTTCCTGTGTGGGGGGCTAGTGTGACCATGGGTGGGGACATAGGGGCTCTGAGTGAAGGCAGGTGGGGCCAGAAAGATGCCAAGAGGTAGGCAAGGAGTTGAAGAATCCAGCCTCCTGAGCTCCCATCCCAATTTGCATTTCCCAAAGGAGTCACTTCCTGAAAAAGCTGTTTGGTGGTAATAGCCAAGGATGCTTAAGAGTCTGGAATGGCTCCCACTGCTCCAAAGGCATGGAAGACAACACCATGCAATCAAAAGAGGACCAGTCTGGGAGCCGGGAAAAGCTCCTGCTGCTCTCTGAGCTTCAGTTTCCCCACATGGGAAATAGGGCAATAATCCCCCCATGAGATTATGCAAGCACTGTATGGATGATGCATGTGAAGTGTTCAGGATATTGTGGGTACTGAAAGGTGTCACCTCCCTCCTTCAGGCCAGAGTCACCATGATTTGACCCCGCAACCTTCACTTCTCCCTCTTGCCACTCCTCAGCGGTTATCTTCAGCCCCAGCCGGGCCATTTCTCCTCCTGGCTCTCTCGGGCCCTCTGCTCCCCACCTCCACCACACACACACATATTGCAGGGTCAGTTCCACCTAACAAAGTACTCAGTAGATCCTCACACAACCCGAGCAGGAATTCTCATTGTGACTATTTTACAGATGAGGAAACTGAGGTCGAACAGTTAAGCATATGCCTGAGGCCACACACTTAGTAGGAAGGAGCTCCCGTCTCCCTCTGGGTCTTTAGTCCCATGACTCCATGGATTGTATCCCAAGGCCTCTCCCTCCTGCCTGACCTACCCCCAACCTCACCAAAGCCCCCTGGAGGCCACCTGCCCTGCACCTCACCATAGCTGGTCACCAGGTCATCCTGAGGGTCAGCATTGTTGTTCCCACACAGCCCATGGGTCCAGCCCAGGAACTCTGGGCTCATCTTGATATAGACGGCCGAGGCACCATCCCAGGCCAATGTGAAGGCTGATTGGTGCCGCACGAGGACATAGCCAGCAAGCCGCTGCAGATGAATGCTCCCCATCACGTGTGGCAGCTGGACCCTGCGGGCACAGCCCAGAGCCTCAGGCCGATCACACCACCTCCACTAGCCCAGTCCCTTCACCAGAGGACCCACCTATCCACAGGACCCAGTATGTACACAGCACCTGCCTCATCCACACAGATACTGGTACCATGGGATCTGAGGCCCCCAATCCCCTCACCCTGACTTCTTGGGTGCCTAAATATACGATTAGAGAAGGATTCTTTTGTCTTCAGAGTTAAAATTTTTTTTTTTAATTGCAGTTTCCCTGGCAGGGATAAATCTCAGAATGACTGAATTTGCCAGCGTCTTTCTCCTAGACAGGAAAGACAGTATAAGCAGACATCTACTTTTCTAGTTTTTTGGTGGGGAGCAAGAAAGGAGTGGGAAGAGAAAAAGCCAAGAGAAGGAAAGCGGAGTGAAAGAAAAGACAGGCCTACAGCAATCTCGACCACCTGCCCAGTTTTACTGGTGCTAGGAATAGCCAATCTGGAATTAGGCAACTTTCAATCCACCAGAAAATCAGAAAAGGCAAGGAAAGGAAGTGTCTAACTAGCCAAAACCAGTACCAAAAGATCCCTATACCAACACCTTATTCACAGGAGAAACCCTTGGCTTCAATTTTATACTCCAGAAAGCTTGGTTACCCAGTTTCCAGACCTGAAGCAGGAAATGAGAAAGGGTAGAAGGGTCACTGAAGGAAGGCTCTCCTACGCCAGCAGCAACAGAAAATGACAGCAGATGGCAAGAGAAGGAAAGGACAGTGAAGAGGAGATGCAAGAAAGATTTCAGAAAGAAAGGGTGGGGCCATTTAGTGTGGGGCAGAGTCCTCATTCCTCAGATGGCCTCTCAGGCATCGCTGTTGTCCCAACCAGATAAGTGACATTCATCAGAAAAGGGTGATGGTGTGCTCAATATCTGTTCTCTGAGGAGGCTTGAGCTATGTATGATGTATTCAAGAGAATTTCCTTCCAATTGTGAAAGAAAAAACTAAGCATACTTATAGTGGTGCACTCTCTATTACCTGGAAATCTCCACTATTTGTCTGAAGAGCCACTATCTGGACACCTACAGGGCCTGAGAATTCCAGAACATCATGAAGGACTCATCTTTCTGCAAACCCAGCTGACTAGAAACCTAGCAGGCCTAATGGTATGCTCCTGCCCTAATTTTGGAAACTACCATCTGTCCCCGGAAAACAATTTCCTCTAGGCTTGAGAGGGGTGGGTGCTCACCCCTCGCCCACCACAAGTGTGGGGGTTAGGAGAGCCCACGGCAGGTGCTGTAATTACCTCATGCCTCCGTGGGTGACCTCCTTGGCTAGGCGGATCTCCTGCTCACCCGCAAAGAAGAGGCTGATGGACCTGGAGCAGGTGTAGGGGGAGGAGCCGCACTGCGGGTCGTTGTGCACCTGAGCGGGGGTTCAGAGGCCAGTGTGCAGGGTGCCTGCCCCAGACCTAGCCCTGAGCCTCAGCCCTGGGCCTGCTGGCACCCTGTTGAGCTCCCGCTAATGCTGATGGCTGCACCATGTGTGCCAAGTTCCTTTCTTCTGTGATCTCTCCCAGTCCCCGCACCACCACAGAGAGGGTGGCCCATCCCCCAGAGCCTAGTGGAGCCTTCCTGGGCAGGCAGGGCAGGGGAAGCCTCACCTGCACTGAGAAGGTCTGCCCCTCAGGTTCACGGCGCCCCACCAGCATGTAGCTGCCCTTCCCAGAGAGGTAGTAGTAAAGGCCATCAAATGTCTCCACATGGTGCTGTCCCCAAGCCCTGCAGATGCTGTCCCGCTCAGGGCCAGCGTTGTATACTGAACCAAGGAAAAGAGAACCTCTCTGTGTAGCTGCAGGGGCCACCAAGCCAGAAGCTCGGTTATCCCTGTAGCCCAACAGCCCAGAACCCCCAGGACTCAGACCCACAGCTTTCCCTGCACCCATGGCCCATCCCAGGGGTGAGATGGAGCTCAGACCCACCCATCTGGCAGCGCGGCCCAGTGGCATTGAAGCGTCTGCAGTCACAGAAGGCTGGGTGCACACATTCACCCCCATTGAAGCAGGAGAACAAATCTGCAAAGAGACACAGGAGGCACCTCCCCACCAAGCTGAGATCAGCAGAACGCAGCAAGGCAGCACCTCCCTCCTGTGGGCGCAACCAGGCCCCGCCCTCCCCTCCCACCTGCAGGCAGGTGGGGAGGGATCTCTGAAAGAGATAGAGGGAATAGATGAAAGAAGAAGAGGGGATGCGAACTAAGCAGTTCAAGCAGGTTTATTGCTGAACCTGAGAGGGACCCCTTTGTTCTGGCCAGCAGAACAAAGGGAAAAAGGGGTCTCTAACAGGTCAAGAGGGTTTATATGGCCAGGGTTTTTGGCGGGCTCTTTGAGGGGAGGGGTCAGGGGAAAGGTGGGCTTGTGGCTTGCTGACGCTTCCTCAGGAGAATGCCTGTAGCCTAAGGAAGACGACACCTGGGTCTCTCTGTGATGGTGGGTGGGCCTAATCGAAAGGTGGTACTCAGGTCCAGATTCTATCAGTCTCAGAGTACCAGGCTTCAGTCTGTGCCAAGTGGCCCCCAGGCAGCCCAGCTTGGCTTTCAGTTCTCTAAGCTAAGAGTTCCTGGCAGGCAGACAGGCAAGGCAGGCAGAACTAAGAATATGGAGCATGGTGGGTGAGCAGGGAGACTGCGTGGAGATCAGGTACTGCTCTTCCTCCCCACTCCAGAGGCTCGGGGAGGAGGCCAAGGCATAAACAAGGGGAGTGGGGGAGGCCACACACTGGGCACACGGCAGAGAGAAAGCCCCCAGAGGATGAGAAGACAGAGCAGAGCCCAGCGTGGTGAGGGAAGGAGCCACAAAAGAGAGGGCCCTCGACACGGGACAGGGAGAGGGAGAGGCCACGGACACAGGAAGGGATGAACCACAATGCCACAGAACATAGCAAGAGGCCACAGAAACAGGGTGAAGTGGAAGAGGAAACACCCACCCAACTAGGAAGCACAAATCCCTGCAGTCAGGCAGTGTGAGGGGGAAAAGCTACAGGGCTGGGGTCATAAGAACGTGATGCTGGAGAATTAGCTCTCCTCCACCAGGAAGGAGAAAGAGTGGAGTTGGAGGCCTGGGCTGGGGAAGCTGGAAAGAGACCCCATGCAGGAAAGAGGTCACAGGATGCCCGAGGCCTGCCCTCACAGGACTCCCTGCAGGTCAGGGCCTTCCGGCACGCAGCCCAAGGGCCACAGGGAGGGGCCACTTACAAGACGGAGCACATTTGGCCCGATGGAGCCGCCTTTCCCAGGAAGACATGGCCAAGGAGTCCAGGTCCTCAGCCTCCTTTCAAAGATAGAAGAGAGGGAATGCGATCAAAGGCTGACCTTAGGGAAAGCAGCCTTCCTGGAGGTCACAGCCCTCCTTGTCTATCGCCTGGAGGGAGGGAGGCCCGATGCAGCCCCCAACCCTGGTGCTCCAGCCGCTCCACCCACCAGGCCCACCTCTTTAGAAGCAGGGAAGGGAACATTTTTCAGGCCTGCACTAAGCCAGACAAGAGAGGGTTGGTTTTGACCCTCCAGCGTGGCATCTTCGTGGCCTGAACACATTCTCTCTTCTCCATGCTCCCATACCCCCCAGCCACGCCTCCCTCTCTAGAAAATCTTTGTGCCCACAGGCCAGCACAAAACCCCCTTGCCTAGGGAACAAACACAGGCCCTCCTCAAGGCAGAATCCGCATGATGCAGACCGAAGAAACAAAGGCAACCCCTCAGCCCAGGGCAGAGGGATGTCTCACCTTACCCTCACCTAACCTTCCCTTTGCACTCTTCCAACAACAGCAAAAACAGTGCCTCACAGATTACCACCCACACCTCAGAACTCAGCTCCCTGACACCACAAATCCAAGGAGGACACAGGCAAAGCACACCTAAGAAATTTCTTTTTCCAGACCAGAAATCTCAACACTTGGTCTCTCAATATATAAACCATCTGAAATTAGGACTGTGTGTTCAGCCACCACACAGTTAGCTGACTTGGACGCCTGACTGCTTGGAACTCCAGCCCAAGATGTCTGCTGTCCACTGGGAATGGACCCTGGGCACAGCAGCCTCCTTCCCTTGGAGGGCCTCAGTCTCCTTTGTATGGCTTTCCAGAGCCATGGGCTCACCCCCAGGCCAGGCACCGTGAACTGAACAGGCCTTGACCTCATGGAGCTCGTGCTCCTGTGCACAGGGCCCGCTGGGCACACACCACACTGTCATCTCTGCATCTTCAGGCAAAATCCCGAACCTCCAGTAAAGGACTTGGAACATGGAAAAGTATTCTGAGCCCCTGGTCCCCGGAGCCAACCCCAGCCCTTTGTCCCTCCTTGACCTGCTGAGCCTCCCCACCTCATCCCTAGCCACTCATCCCTGCCCTCTTCACTGTCCTGCTGACCCCTAGGAGGCCACTGGTCCCTCCGTGGCCATGTTTTCATGCTCACTTCCCACATTGGCCCCTGGTGTCTGGGTCCTCCCTGGCTCTCCTGACCCTGCAGACCCAGGAATCAGGCTTCCCTCCCTGGTTGTAATTGATCTCACAGGGCCTCAAGAGACCAAGGGAAATGGGAGTGAGCAGCCCGGAAAACAATCACCACCACAGTCCTACAGGTCCCGAAGAGCTTTTAATTAGACTTAGTCTTTGTGTCTCTCCACTCTTCGCCCCCACCTCAGATACGGCCTGAAAGATTGGTTCTGAGGCTAAGACAGCTTGTGCTGCAGGGGCAAGGCCATCTTGGGGAGAAATTTTAAATCCCATCCAGATTGTTGTCTTCAATTTAGGTCAGGAGTTCTTAAACACTTTGATGCCATGAACCCTTATAATCTAGTGAAGCCTATGGATTCCCTCTCAGAATAATGTTTATAAATATAAGAAAACATAAGATTACAAAGGACATCAGTTATATTACAATATAGTTATGAAAATATTTCCTAAAAATATGTGATTGGTAATATTTGTGTTTCTTTATTAACACATTAAATAACAATTCCTAACAGTAGGTCTTATCATTGCCAGAATTTTGAAGTAATGAGCATAAATGAGATCTAGAGATACATTGACATGAAACTGCCCTGTGATTTCTATTGGTGACAATCACAGACACTGCTAATACTCTTGTGGTTTGGACTCTATAGTAATAATTGAAGGGAATGCTAAGTTTCAGTTAGATTGAGTTTCCTGTAAATAAAAGCATTTTTTTCCCCATCCAAGTTTATGTCCCCCTGCTCTACACCACCAACTCTCAGAATGGCTGAGCTCTGTAGGAGTGAGGCAGAACTGAAATGAAGGTTCTTGGCCGCTTTCCTTGGACCCCCTTCCATCCTGATGAAGGATATTTCAGGCAGAAGCCCTTGAAGGGTCCCCAGGTTCACTTTCTAGTTAATGGCCTCATTCCCCAGACCCCACCTCCAGTCACCTAAAGGAGGGCCATTCCAGCCCCTTCTTTACTCTAAGAATAAGGTGAAAAACCTACTGGGGTTGTCTGGTCCAGATGCTTCCCCAAGGAAAAGTGGGATGGGGGGCCTACCATGGAATCCTACAAGGAAGGAAGGGGAATGAGGTGCTTGGGTAAGGATCACTTCCCCCACTAAAATACAGGGACTCCTGAAGTCCTACAGGGCATTTGTGGTATGGGGAACAGGCCCGCTCCACCAGGAGACCTTAATCCACCTGCTCCTGTGGGCCCCCAGCAAGTCATCCACCTGCCCTGATTGCCCCATCTGTAAAAAGAACAATGACATTATCTTTCCAGTCAAACTGTACCTGACTGTGATTCTGAAACTTGGGGCCTGGAAAAGTGAACAAACAACAAATTAAAGAACTCAGATAATCCACATGTTAGAGAGTAAGTGTGCCCCTTTAGGTCTTGATATCTATTTCCAAAGGGCAGGTATTCAAGACACATTGTTTTGTATTATGTTTTATATATATATAAATTTCTAGTATATATAAATATAAAATATTATATATATGTACAATTTTGTTAATAATGTCTCCAACCTGCTGACACAGTAACTATCCAGAAGTGATCTCTAGGGCCAAGGTGCATAAGTTGAGGCTCAAGATGCTCTGGGAGACCTGGCTGTGGGTCGGCTAGATTTATAACATGTCTGTGGTTGTTGAAAGGAGACAAATGCAGGACAGGATTGGAAAGAGAACCTGAATCACCTGATCCAGAAGCCAAAGATATTTGGCAAAGAGAAAAACAAACCATAATGTCTCCTGAAAGCCCAGAGGTCCCTAGGGGGGTGGGCAATAGGGAATGGTCAAGACTCAGAGGAAAGCAGTTCAGGCTCTGCTTCTCAACCAGCCCCTCCTTGCAAACCCCACCAGGAGGCTCAGTTTTTGTGTCTCCTCTCAGGGTAGCATTGCTGGGGCACTGACAGGGTATGGAGAGGGGCCTCAGACAGGGTTTGTGAACTTTGCAGACTAGACAGGGAAAAAATCTCTCCTAACCTCTCCTTGCACCAGCTGTCCCCTGATTGTGCCTTGGTGTCATCCTCCCCTAAAAAACAAAACCAAACCAAACACCATGCTGGCAACAGGACCCCAAGAGATTAGGAGGGTGGGAACAGAGTGTCTTAGGAATTTGCATATTTCAGGCACAGGTAGGAACTTTGTTGCCTTTGGAATAGCTGCAGAGACAGGCTTCCTGCAACCTACAGAGATCCCTGCTAACCTCAGACCCACACAGAAATAAGCCCCTGCCCAGTGAATCCCCCTTCCCTGGGCCTCCCCTTACCTGGGCTCCCATCACTGTTGTAGCATCCACCATGGCAAGGGTCACCTCCTGATGGTTGCGACTAAATGAAAAACAACCCGACGTGGGTAAGGGGATAAGAATGGGCTATGCCTCCCCACCAGCCCCAGGCCCACCCCACCCTCTGTGCTAAATCCCAGGGGTCACCCACAGCAGGAGTAAAAATGGGATCATTGGGTGGGGCAGCCGCAAGCTTGCACCTACTCACCTGGTATGCTGGGCTGCCTCGAGCTGCAGCTCTGCGTCGCCCTGGGGTCCGAGTGCTGCCGCTGGGGGGGATTACTCTCCACTCAAGTTCTGCCTGCCTTTGTTGGGCCTCCCACCGCCCTTCCCCACCGTGGTGGGGGGCCTCTCCCACATCCCTGGCATTCCCCTCCCCAGTCTTTCTCCCGGGAGCCCTCTCCGATCCTTCCAACCCCTCCCCGGCGAATCTTCTCCAGCAAGGGTCTCCCACTCGCTGTGCCCCAGTCGCTCCAGTTCCCCACTGTGGATCTCCTCCACCCTGCTTGGCTTGGGACCCATTCCCCTGGCTGCCGCAATCCTCCCCCTCCTTCTGAGCTCCTTCTCCCCCTGACCCTCTTCCAGGCTGGCCCCCACCCCTTCTCTTTTTCCTCTCTCCCTCGGACCTGCTCAGGCCCGTTCCCCTCAACTTCCCCGCAGCCCCGGCCACCCCTCGTCCACACGCGTCTCACCGAGAGACCGCACGCGCAGGGACGCCCCTGCCGGCTCACCCCGGGGCAGCCCAACGCAGGCGAGCAGCAGGCACAGAACCCGCGTGGAGGCGCGCGGGGCAGGGGCCCCCATAGGGGCGCGCGGGGACTGGGAGGACTGAATGCAGAGCTGGGGTCCCGAGTGCCTCTCCCGGCGAAGGCACGTCACACCTCCACTCGGCGGCCGCCGTCCCTCTCACTCTCTGGCCCCTGGGTTCCCTCGGCCCCTCCTCCCAGGCATTTGGCTCCTCCCTGAGCTGCAATGACAGGACCGCCCAGCTTATCACCATAATTTAGGCGCCTGGAGACTGTCCAGCCTTTGCCTTTCTTGGCCGGTGGCTGCTCTTCCCCAGCGGAGGCTGGATTCAGATCACTCAGCCCTAAGTCTCCTGGGGGAGCAGCGGCAGCCTGGGCAGGCTCCCACATCCCTCACTGCTCAGAGATCCCTGACTCCAGACCCTGGGTCCTGGAACGCCCAAGGTGCTGCTATGAGTCTGGTCTCCTGCTCTGCTTTTACAGAGGTCCTGCGACGTGCCACCCGTGGTGAGAGGTCACAAGCAGAACCAGGCCTCAGGCCTGCAGAGTCCTAGCCTGTGCTCCCACCACTCCCTACTACAGCCTCCTGGGTCCCGGGTCCCCGCCCCATCCTCAGTTTTGAGCACCCCTGGGAAATAGATCATGCCTCAGTCCTCTCTGTATGTCCAGCACTAGCTTAGGCTCTGCCTCAAAAAATGTTGACTGGGTGAAAGAAGTGCCTCACGCTCCCATATCATTGTTCCCATCAAGACCAGATTTTGGGGGGAAAAAGCTTTTATTTTGTGAACAAGATACACTCTTTGTGCAAGAGGAATTTTTAAATGGCGGAAATGTGTGCCTGAGAGCCTTGGGGACCTGTGCACCATTCATTTGTTTACCCAGGTGTTGAAACACCAGCCAAACGCAGGCCTTGCAGATGATGATGATTAATGATGATGCTTATGGCCCCAGCAGACGCCCCAGGCAAGGATATAGATATAGGATGCATTTGTTCATTCATCCATTCAACAGATTTGTTGAACATCTATTTCTCACGTACACTGATCTGGGAATATAGTGGTAAATGAAGCTCACATAGCCACCCCCACATAGGGTATTTGCAGCCATGGGCATAAATGGAAAGATGAAGAGGACAGCGCCAAGGATGGAGCCATGGTTAGGGATTGGTTGAAGGCAGGTTGTCTCAGAGAAGCTTGAAAGGAACATTTATGGGAGAGGAGAACCAGTGCTCCATGTTGTCTTCAAAACCAAGGAGAGAGTCTGTGGGAGTGGTGGTCATGGAAACAAGGGTTGACATGGTCAGGGGCCCACTTTCCCACTCATAAGGGCACTTGCCACCTTGCCTGGATTCTAAATATGAAATAAACAGCCATATGACACAGTTAAGAAGTGTAGAGAATCAACCAAGTAAGTTGAAAGAGATTGCATTTTGTATGTCTTTCCTGGACCTTTGAAAATCCCACAAATCTTTCCTTTTTATCCTATCTAACAAGTCAATACTAAGAGCACATAATATTTTAAGGGTCTTCTCCCGGGGATTTACATCTTAAACAAGATAATAATTTAACCCAAATAAAACTAGTCTGCTGGCAAAACTTCAATATTGGTTATAGGAGGCAGAGAAGGTTGGGGATCTCTAGGTATCCCCAAAGTTACAGTTGCAAGGGTTCACGGATTTGGGCTGCTGTCCATCTCCCTGTCCCCTGCCCCCTGACAGGGTACAAACAGGCCAGGCCCCACCCTAGGTTAAGTACAGGCCCAAGTTCCACAATTAAAAGTCCCCACTGTCCCCCATTCACACCTGTTTTTGTCACCCCTCTCCTGAGCTCCTCTTTCCCCTCAGTCTGTCCCTGACTTGGTTCATCATTGTCTTACATCCTAGCCCTGGACCCGGGCGTTCAGCAAACTTCGGTTGAATTGAATCAAATGAACCAGATAGGGTCTGGGCCCTGGGTAAAGGTCGGCTGTAAATGAGGATGTCACGGCCCGGCTCTTCCATGCTTTAGTGAGTGTGGTGTGCGTTCGTGTGGATGGGGGCGGGCTAGGTAGGTTGGAGAGAAAGTCGGTTGAGGATGAGCATTGCCACCCGCTGGTTCAGGCCCCTCTGGGCCCAGTAAGACCCAGCCCCAAGGAATTCACTGATCAAAGACTTATTTCCCAGTGGGAAAAGCCCGTGGACTTTTATGAAATGTACGCTGAAGGTGAGATGTGTGGCAGGGAGTGAATGTCTTGGGAAGGCGGGTGGGTCTCTAATTGTGTATTCAGAGAAAACTGACTAGATTTCCCACTCCCTAACCACCGATGTGAGAGATTCAGGATCTCCACAGAAAAGTATTCCGACCCCGACGAAGTCACAAACCTCCTCCCCATGCCTCCCGAGATCCGCTTGCGTTTGGGGACTATTCCAATAGGAGCGCCAACCTCGAGTCCAACCACCGCCGCCCCCACCACATATATATCCCAGCCCGTTTGCTCCCTGGGCGTCAGGGCGGCACCACGAGGTTCAGGACACACGTCTCTGCCCTCCCAGAGGCCCCGCCCATGCCCGTCCCCTCCCCGTCCCCCACAACTCCCAGGCCCCGCCCCCTGCTCCCAGGCCCCGCGATCGCCGTAGCTGCCCCTTGCGGGCTCCCGGCAGCCAGGCATCAGAGCCATCGAGTAGCGCAGCAACGCGGCGCGATCTGGCCCAGTCATGGACCGGAAAGTGGCCCGAGAATTTCGGCACAAGGTAAGACCTGCTAGGGGCCCCTAAGGCGCCCGAGTGGATAAATTGATTTCCAGAAAGTGTCCTTTCTCTTTCTACCCTTCAGGGGCTGGGACTTCCCTGGGGTTGGAATTCCTTTCATCCTTGGCCTGAGACAGGTCATTTCTCTGAGATGCCCCATAGTGGGCAAATCCCCCAGCTCCTAGAACAGTCCCCCCTCCCCCCACCGTTGGAACAGGTGGAGAGAGTGTGGGACAGCGTCTGAGCAGTGAGCATTGGTGGGAAGGGAAACTGGTTGCCTCTGTCCTTTGACCTCAAAACACAGGAGCACTTCAGGGATCCCCCACCTCCCCTCCCCCCCTACCCCTACCCCCGCCTAAGAGCATTTCTTAGGGCCTGAGAAGCAGCTGAGGAATGGTGCTGGCCAAGGGGCAGTGAGAGGAAAGGAAGAGGAACAGGGTCAGCCAGATCCTTCAGACAGAGCCACATCTCCCCTTCCTGCTGAGGGACCTCACTGGCGGTCTGGGATCCGCAGAGACCATCAGTGAAAGCTGCTGGATTTCACCCAGGGTATTTCCACAACTTTTCCCAGGGCTGAGGCCCTGAGGCAGAGAGGACCATTTGAGGAAAGCCAGTGGGCCTTCACATCAGGCCCAAGGGTGGAGCCAGGGGTGTCTGGATTTACCTACAGACCCTGGCTGAGGGATGGGCCCCTGTGAGCCCTGAGAGCCCTCCCAGAGCCCGAGGGATAGTGTCTTTAGACCAAGCCAATGTTGTTCCCAGGCCTGAGGGGGTAGAGCTCAGGAAGGCCCGGTTAGGTTAGGATGCTTAACCCCTCCCTCTCCTCAGAGATACCCAGGGGAGTCTGAGAAGCCAGCCAGCATGGGGCTACTGGGGCTAAGGGCCAGGGGCTAGGGGCTGGTGGTCACTCACTTCCTAAACATATCTGGAGTACCCACTCTGTGGTACACTCAGACTGTGCCCTCAGATTGGTGGTTGTGTGGATGGGAGGCAGATCCTACTCTAATAATTATCCATGGCTAGGTGCTGAGTGTTGGAATCAAGTTTTGGTGGGGGCACAAATGGAGCAGCTCATACTGGCAGAAGTCCCCTAAAAATGAGGCCTTGGGGATCCCAGGTGTGAGAAAGACCTGAAATACAGCAGGAGTTCAGGGTCTTGGCAAATAGCCAGGGAAGCATGAGACAGTGTTCACCGGCGTATCCTGTTGCAAAGGGACATGAGGGGAGAAATTTCAACCACTGAGGACATTGGTGAGTATAGATTTCAGGCAACCCACTTTGAAGGAACACAACCTCCCATCCCCAACCCCAAGACTTAGGTTTGAATTTCACTTTCTTACCCCTGAGCTGAAAGTAATGTTGGATACCCTTTTGCCTTCTCCTTGTAGGGTACTATTCTTTGCCTCTTCTAAGATTACCTCTGGGGCCTCTGGTGTCTGACTAGGCCTCTGGGTCAGCCCTTGCTCCTCTTCCCCAGGCTCCAAAGGGCCTCAGGCCCCTGTGTTTCCACTGCCCTGTTCTTTCTCCTCATAAGAGTCATTACCTATTAATGCCCTTGTGTGTGCAGGCGGGGCAGGCGCCATGTGGGGCAAGGCCTGGACTGGACTTTGTGCCTTCCTGCTCCAGGGACAGCAGCAGCCATCCCCTCCCGGGTTGTAGATCAGCTAGAACTAGGGAGAGAGGATGAAGCAAGAGAGGACAGAGATGGGGGAGCACAGGTGTACTAGATGAAATTTACAGCTTGCTCTTGATGGCTTTCTAGATGTCCCTTCCTTAATATTTTAGAGCAAATTTACCTCTTGGAAATGGTTCATAATCCAAATCCTTAGCTGTTGAAAGTAGTATTAAAGGTAGTGCATTGTCATGGGAAATGCTGTGTGACCTTGAGCAAGCTACTTACCTCTCTGTGCCTCGGTTCTCTAATTTGTTAAATGAGGATAACAATAGTATTTACCTGGTAAATTTACTGTGAATGTTGGATAAGATCTACATGTGTGTAGGGAGCTTAAATATTCCCTTGCACATAGTGAGTGCTCAGCAAATATCCACTGTAGTTTGTTATCTGGAGTTAGGCAGAACTGGGGTCAAACCTCAACCCTGTCACTCATTGCCAGTGAGACCATGGACAAACCACTTAATCTCTCTAAGCTCTAGTTTCCTCAGCCATGTGATGAGGCTCATAGTGCTTACTTCACAGGACAGTTAGGATTAAATAGAAATTCAAGTATTGGCTACTCTGAGCCCATAGTAACCATTTGGTCCATGGCCACACTGTTCCCAGTTGGTGCCTGCAGAGCATCCTACTGAATGAGCCAATAGGCTCCAGGCCTTTGAGTATACAGTCTGTTCCTTTGGGCTTCTGTGGTTTCCTCAAGAACATGAGCAGAACTTGCATGCCTTTCCCACTCACAGCCTTGGGCCCAAATACCAAGGGGAGGGCAGGGGTGCATCAGAAACCAAAGCTTCTTCCCCAGAGGACCAGCTTTTCAAAAGAAGGCTGCTCCAAGGACCTGAATAGACATTTTCCTGAAGAAGACAGAGGTGGCTAACAGACACACGAAAAGATACTCAACATCACTGATCATCAGGGACATGCAAATCAAAGCCACCATGAGACGTCACCTCATGCCTGCCAGGATGGCTAATAACAACAAGATAAGAAATAACAAGCTGTTGGTAAGGATGTGAAACCCTTGTGCACTGTTCGTGGGAATGTAAAATGATACAGCCACTATGAAAAACAGTGTGGAGTTTCCTCAAAAAATTAAAAATAGATCTGTCATACGATGTAGAAATTCTATTTCTGGGTATTTACCCAAGGAAAACAAAGACACTAATTTGAAAAGACATATGCACCCCTATGTTTATTACCACATATTTGCAATAGCCAAGATACAGAAACAACCTAAATGTCCATCAATAGATGACTGGATAAAGATTTGCTACATACACACAGTGGAAATCACTCAGCCATAAAAAGGAATGAAATCTCCATGATAACAATATGGATGGATCTAGAGGGTATTATTATTAGACAGAGAAAACACAAATACCATATGATTTCCACTTATATGTGGAATCTAAAAAAATTAAAATGAATAAAAAACAAAACAGAAACAGACTCATGAATACAAAGAACTGGTGGGTGCCATAAGGGAGGGGAGTGGGGGGATGGTCGAATTAGATGAAGGGGATAAAGAGGTACAAATTTCCAATTAAAAAATTTGTGAGTTACAGGGATGAAAAATACAGCATAGGGAATATAGCCAATAATATTGTAGTATCTTTGTATGGTGACAGGTGACAGATGGTAACTATATTTATCCTAGTGAGCATTTCATAATGTATACAATTGTCAAATCATTATGTTGTACACCTGAAATGAATATGTTGTATATTAACCATACTTCAATTTAAAAAAAAACAACAGCAAACAGAAGAACATAAAGAAATCCACTACCCAGACAATTGGGGATGTTCTATTTTAAATTTTTTTCAGTATAATATAATTCCATACATGGAAATATATAAAAAACACATATGACTAAAAGGTAGTTTAAATGAAAGCCTATTTTTAATAGGCAAAGACTGTGTCCAAACAACAAGGCAACTAAGTAAAGAGCTCAGGTGTTATTCTTGATGGCCCCAGATAAAACTAGATTAATACACTGATAATACAGAAGTTGAAGAAATAATTAAACATCATTAACCAGAATTAACTTAGCAATTAGATTAGAGAAACACCATGAGGAAGAAAAAGAAAACCTATCATAGCAACAAGTGGAAAAAACATAAAGAGAAAAGCAAGTAAGATCATGTCCTCAGTGCCACTATCAGAAGCAGATGCAGCAGGACTGCATGCTTAGGAAGCAGAGAGAGGAACAGTCCCAAGAGACAATGAGAACCTGTCTTAACTTAGGAAGCAGAAAGAGTGAGTAAAGGCAATTCAGTTAGTGGAAAGGGTGGGAGAGACTGAAATGCTGCCCAGGCCCCCTTGATGGGATTATCCAGGGTCTATATATAAGAATTGTAGGTATTTGATTATAATGTGATTTTTTAAAGTTATTCGTTTTACATTGCTGGTACAGAAAGTTTTATTTTTCTTTCAATGTCAGATTTCAATATGTGCACAAGAAATTGAAAATTTCTTTTGAAAACATTAAAAAACAAAAACAGAACAAAAGAAGGCTTCCCCTCTGCTCACCACACCTGCATGCTGCAGGAACTTGGTTACTCATTTGCTCAAAAAGTTTATTGCCTCTTCAGCAATCATGTATTTATGGGTATCTGCAGTGTTCCCTGCTCAAGCCTAGGCATCTGGGGAAAGGGAAATAAATAAGTCAGAAAGAGCCCCTGCCTTCTAGGGATTTGCTAATCATTCATGCATGCATGCATGCAATAAATATGGACTGAGCTCCAAATATATTCCAAACAGTACTCTGACCATTGCAAAACAAAGGTCCCTGCCTCTAGAGAGCACATTCTAGTGAGGAAGACAGAGTTAACAACTAACTCTGGTTGTTATGATATGATACTATATAAAGGTATCATATAATGCAAAGAAGTGATAAATGCTATGACAAGAAACAAACTTTTTTTTTAAATTTAGAGAGTAACCAGTTGATACTTTATATAGGGATAGTCAGGAAGCCCTATCTGAAGAGGTGATATTTGAGCAGAGACCTGGAAGAAATGAGGGAAGGAGTCATGGGGATATAAGTGGAAGAGCATTCCGAGAAGAGGGAACAGCATGTGCAAAGGCCCTGAGGCAAGAACATGATTGCCTTCTTTAGCAACCCAAGTAGGGCAGTGTTTCTGAGAGGAATTATGGATTGAAGAGTAGTGGGAGATGGATTAGAGGAGTGGTGGGGGCCTGGTAGGCCAAGGTAGGAACTCTAGGTTTTGTAGTAAGTGTGATGAGAAGCCAGCAGGGGAATGATTTACATTTAGAAGGGATTGCTCTGACTGCTGGTAGACAGCAGACTGAGGGGACCAAGCATGGAAGGGTGAACCCATTTAAGAGGCTCCTGCAGCAGCCCAGGCCAGAAGTGGAGGCTTGGACTAGGACAAGGAGTGGTCAGACCCAGATACCTGTTGAAGGTAGATCTGACTGGCTTTACTGTTGGATTGGCTGTGGCTGTGGTGAGAGACATCAAGGGCAAGTCTACATTTTGCAAGGAGCAGGTTGGTGGGGACTAGTGGGAGGTGGTGGAAACCAAGAGTTCCATTACGAATGTTTGAAGTTTGAGATGCCTCTTTAGGCCTATGAGTAGAGAGATGGCTGAGAAGGCTGGTAGCTGTCAGCGTCTGAGGGGGTTGGGGGAGAGGTCTATTGCTAGAGATAAGCCACTGAGAGTTCTTGGGGAATACATTGTAGTTCAACCCCTAAGACTGATAAGGTCACTTAGGGAGACAGTGCTGATGAGAGAAGACTCAGGACAGAGCTGGGGCCCCCCAACCTTTAGAGGAGAGCAAGGGGAGTAGGAAGAGCAAAGGGAGCAGGAGAAGCAGGGTAAGGAGGACGTGACCAGCTGTTCCAGGCACTGGGTCAAATGCTAGCAAGTATCTGGCAAGACATGAGCTTTTGAAAAGGTGACAGATACTGAAACAAGAGTCAAACACCCAGTACTCTCAGGGATGCACACTGTAGAAGCCTGGGAAGGAGTGTGGTGGGATCCATTCATCCCACCAACATTTACTGAGGGCACACTCTCTGCCAGCTGTTGAGAATATAGAATCTGTTCTCATTTATCCCTACTCAGTTCTATTTAACAAATACTTAGAACTCACTATTTGCCAGGCCCTGTTAAATAGGCATTTAGCTATTATTAACTCAATGAATAATACAAATCAATGGTTAATCCCTCATAGAAGGATTAAATCCTATGAAATATGTACTTTACTTCCCATTTTACAGATGAGGAAACTGAAGCACAGAGAAGGGCAGACCCAGCTGGGGAAGAACTTGCTGGCCTCACTCTCCACACTCCCCCAAGGCCTGTATCTGGGCCACACACCGATTGGTGGGGAGACAGGCAGGTGAAGAGAGAAAGTATAACACAACTTAACACAACTTGGGGAGCCACATAGTAGGGGCAGGAGCAAAGTGCAGTCATGTGCACTAAGAATGACAGGACAGGCTTTGGGGGTGAGGAGAGGAAAGGCTTGCCATGGACAGCTGATGTTTGCAGCATCTTAAAGGTGCAGGAGAGCCCACCGAGAGGAAATGCGGCCAGCACCACAGCCACTAATGGCTAACATTTCACACCAGCCAGGGTCACTGCAGGAAGCAGGTGGCTTATCCAAACAGGAAACTGGAGAGTTTTATGAAGGGCCTGGACTGTGAACCCACAAGGAGTGGTAACATGGCCTGGGAGTAGCAGCAAGAAGCCAGCGCTCCTGATGAGGCAATGTTAGGGGGATCCTCCCCCCAGGGGAACCCAGGGCTGCAGAGAGAGGCCGAGGCCTGCCACGTGATGATCCAGCAAGGGGTGGGGAGCTCATGGGGGAGAGCCAGGAATCAAAACCCCTTTCCCTTTCTCCTCAGGCCCTCTCACCAACTAGCTGAACACAGTGGGAAACAGAGGTCAGGGAACCCAGGGAAAGCTTCCTGGGACACAGCAGGGTGGAGAAGGCTGGAGAGTAGGCCTGGGGAAACAGAAGAAGAGATCCAGGACACATTTTGGAGCCCCTAAAATTTTGGAGCCCTGGGCATTGTCTTAAGTACTTTACATATATTCACTTATTTAATCCCCACAATAGACCAAGGAGGGCAGATGTTCATCCAGAGGAATAACATGTATTATTGAGTTTCTTCTTTCTCTTTCTCCCTTTTTGGCTGGGTGCACATGCGGAGTTGAATTTGCATGAGCTTGATGTTGCTTGCTCCTGTGCAGCTGTCCCAAATGGCCAGTCCACGGGGAGGAATGCCACGAGATGTGGTTGGAAAGGGTCCAAGAGCAAGCCCAGAATTTGCCTCCAGTGCCTCAGACAAGGGGCCTGAACCACCACCACACCCCCCACTGCTGCTTACCAGCCAAGAGCACAGAGCCAGTAGAGCGTCAGCCAGAGAATGCTGATACTGGGTGGAGGGGGCCAGCCCAAGGTGGGCAGTAATCGGGGAATTGATGTAATGAAGAGACAAGCACCCCCCACAGTTATTTGTAGATGCTGGGCTCCTTTAGGGTGTCTCTGCTCATTTCAAGAGGGATCCAAGAAAAGGAAAAGCTTTCTTCCTCTAGTTGGAAAAAAAAAAAAGACATGGTGTTTTCCACGCAATAGGTGTTCAGTAAATCTGTATTAGACAAATGCATACAAAAAAGTTGTATCTGGTAAGTGGATACCATGTGGTGGTTTGAAAAAAAAGCAGGAGTTTTGGAGCCAGGAGGCATAAGTTGGAGTCTCAGCTTTGCCACTTCTCTGAGCTTCTTATTTCCTCAGCTGTGAAATGGGAATAATATCCATCTCTCTCAGATGTTTGTTGGGACGTTAAAGATAATACACATCAAGTTTCTCAGATGTGGTGGCCATCAGTAAGCAGAATTTAGCTGGAATAAGTGAGCAAGGATCAGTCCAAGGCTCAGTTTTGGGGAGCCCCTGCTCCAGGGCACTTTGTACCACTCTTCTGATACTTTGTACTCAGTGTAAAGCCCATGGCATCCATCCAGTAGGTCTTGGACAGCACCATGCTGTGCAGAGAGGCACACAGTGCTCAGTGGTGTCTGCCGAATGATGAGTGAACCCAGTGCTCTCGTCCAGAGCCTGCCTTCCACCCTCTTAGCCCAGCCCTGAGTCTCCACCTTCCCGTCACTCCACATTACATATCTGTCATAGCCTCCTGGATCTGTCTCCTCTTAGCTCAATTCCAGCTCTTCACAAAAGCGTAAGTCCCAGGCCCACACAAGATGGACTGCCCCCACCACATGAAACCTGCCTCCTCACCCGTCCCTAGCCTAAGGCCCCTCCTGCCCTCTTACTCTGTCTTGGGCTGAAGAGAGAGTTAAGGGTACAATGTGTAGAGATTCACACTGAGCTGTCCCAGGGAGTAGAATTTGGTGCTTCTGACCCACCAGTTCCCCTGGGATTGAGGTGCTAAAGAAACAGCTCCTGACCCTGACCTTGGAGCTCCAGCCATTGACGTCAGCAAAGTAGAAATGATGTAACTTGACTCTCTCCCTGAGAAGGGGTGTGCAGGGAGGGACCTGGGGAGGGAAAGGAGTGGCCAGGAAGCTGACCAGGGGACAGAAGTCAGGGCCAGCCCAGCTTAGGCCAGGACAAGAGAGGGAGGAGTTGCCCCTGGCATTGATGACACAGAAGAACCGGTGGCAGGGTGCTTCTGGAGGGTGGGATGTGCTGAGTGAATGGCCCAAATCCTTTCTGAAAGCAGTTCTCCAGCACTACAGCCACCAGCAGGTAAGACAATGGGCTTCCTCCAAACCAGAAGGCTAACACTAGCACTGCCACCCTGGATGCTGGTGACATAGCCATGGGGGTGAGCAGCACCTCAGCTGTTACAGGGTGCATTGCTGTCACATGGGGGTTCACATGTGTGCATATGTGATGTGTGTGCATCCACTGGGGGACCTGTAGAGGTACTCCCGAGGCCATGGCGGGGTGGTCAGCATTGGTCTGCAGTGTTAGGGTCAGAGAGTCAGCCTGGTCTCTGGCTTCCCTTCTCCCCCCACAACTCCAGCCCTGTGGAGATGCTGAGGAGGACCCCGGCAGTGGCCACCCCCCTCCCTGAGGTCTGCTATGGGAGTGCTGGGCCCGGAGCTGTAATTCTGCCCTTGGGTTTTCCAGGTGGATTTTTTGATTGAAAATGATGCAGAGAAGGACTATCTCTATGACGTCCTGCGGATGTACCATCAGTAAGTGCACTGGGTCCAGCTCCCGTGGACCACTCTATGTACCTCTGTCTTCAGGGAGCTCTGGGATGGGTAGTTCTGAGACAAGAAGACCTCCCCCTCCCAACCTGGGGAGCTCAGGGAGGCAGATGCTAAGTGTTCGTGGGAATCAAATAGACACACCATTCACTTGTTTTAGCAAAAATTTAGACAAACACTGTATGTGTGGTTCTGTGCTAAGGGCTAGGAGTACATGTGTGAGTGAGACAGACAGATTGCTGCCCTCAGGTTGCTCATAATCCAATGGGAGAGGCTGTCAAGTAGCCATATAGGTTCAATAGAGTGTGATTTCTGGGATAGGACATTGCCATCTGGCCCCACCCCAGCATCAGATGTTCCTCATCACCCACCTGGTTTTTTATTCATTCAGCATACATTTATAGGCTCTAGCCACTTGCTGGGCAACATGCAGAATATGGAAATAGACAAGATCTATTTAGTTTTTCTCAAGTAATTCATGGCCTAGTGGGGTAATAGACCAGACACTACAAACACAAAGAACTCCAATATGAGTTACAGTAAAATAATTGCTAAGGTGAAGTAAAAGCAAGATGTGAAGAAAGTTTTTCACTTCTAATCATGGTGGAAAGGACCAAGATGGCTTGAGCTAGTCTTTGAAGGACAACAAGGATTTTGACAGATGGAAATATCAGAGAAGGACATTCCAGGATGGGGAATCAACATTAGCAAAGGTGTGAGGATGTGAAAGCACCAGGTGTGAATGGGAAGTGACAAGTAATCTGGGGGAGTGGAGCTTGGGGCACACAGCCGCAAGCCTGGAGCTGTTCCATGGAGACAGGTCATGGAGGCCCTGAGCCTGCCAAAGAGAATGGACTGTGTTCTCTGGGCAGTAGGGAACCATTGAAGGGTTTTGAGGAGGGGAGTGACTTTTAGAAAAGATTAGATGAGAGTGACCAGGTTGGCAGACATCTGAGGAGGTGCAGCCAGAGATACTGAGGGTCTGAACGGTGTGAGGAGAGAGATAGTGAGAGTACAGTTTACAGGACCTAGCTGCAGATCAGAAGCGGGAGACCAGGGTGTGAGAGGGTCACCATCATCTCACACAGGGTTTCCTGTCTGGAAAGATCCCAGGCAGAACTGAGTCTGAATCTTGGCTTGATTTCATCTGCAAAATGGGCTGACAAACCCTGCCCCACCAGTTCCCTTGTCATACTTACTCGAGAGAACAAAGCTCTTCTGAGGCCCCTGGCCCACAGTTAGAGGCTCTGGCTTTCAGGAGAGTGCGCCTCGGCTCCTAGGCTTGGACCCGGTGGGTGGGGACCTAGCCTGGGACTGGCTCCTCTGGGAATCCTTAGGTCTCAGAGGTCACAGCCTTGGGTGAGACTCTAGGTATCCCCACACCTCCTCAGGACCATGGATGTGGCCGTGCTTGTGGGAGACCTGAAGCTGGTGATCAATGAGCCCAGCCGTCTGCCACTGTTTGATGCCATCAGGCCCCTGATCCCGCTGAAGCACCAGGTGGAGTACGACCAACTGACCCCCCGGCGCTCCAGGTGCGGAGCGAGCCACCCGACTAGAAGCAGGGGGTGGGAGAGGTCACGCTGGGACAGGCAGCGTCACTCACTAGTGGATGGGAGAGCATTGGCAGTCAGGCAGAGCTGGGCCATCACCAACCTCTCTGATGGCAGGAAGCTAAAGGAGGTACGTCTGGACCGTATGCACCCTGAGGGCCTCGGCCTCAGCGTACGTGGTGGCCTCGAGTTCGGCTGTGGGCTCTTCATCTCCCACCTCATCAAAGGTGGTCAAGCAGACAGTGTAGGGCTCCAGGTGAGTGAACACTGGGGAGTGGGGGCCAGAACCTCAGCCTCATGCCTCCCCACCATTCACTCAGCTATAATGATCTCACCTTTCTGAGACTTTGGGAGAGGAAGAGGGTAACGCAGCCTGACATTTTCCTCAGGACTATAGAAATCAGGCTGTAGTCAGTTGCCTGTTTTCTTCAGTCAAACTGGGAACCTGGCTCACAGCAGCTGCCACTACCCTTCACCCCACCTCCCCTACTTCCAAAGGAGGAGTGTAATTGTGTCCTGGCACCTGAAGCTTTGGCCTGTAGCATTTTACTGGAAAGGAAAAGAAAATCCCAGTGTAGTGTGGTGCCCAAGAGCATAGACTCGGGAGCCAGATTGCCTTTGATATTCATTAGCTATGGGACTTTGATGAAGTTATGTAACCCCATGCCTCAGTTTCCTAATCTGTAAAATGGAGAAAATGATAATACTTCCTTACCTTGTCAGGTTGTTATGAGGAATGAATGAATTCATACTATAAAGTACTTATAAGAGTGCCTGGTGCATAATTAATGTTTGTTAAATAAATAGATTTCATAAACACCTTTATGTGCCAGGTAACATGCACAAAACCAGTTCTCACTATATGCCTTGGCTGTATCTTTCCCATTTTACAGAGTTGATAGCAACTCAGAAACTTTAGTTGCAGCCAGGAAGTGGCAGAGGCAGGATGTGATCCCAGGTCCCCTGACTGCCGAGTCCAGGGATCTCTCTTCAGCACCCAGGTGCCCCTCCCTTGGGGTCCCCACACCTCAGTGTCTGAGCAGAGATGATGGGCAGACCTCCAGGTCTTGCTCCTGCCAGAGCCCGGAGCTGTGTTTTAGTATGTCTGGGTATGAAAGGCCCTCCCCACACCCCCAGAGCTTCCAGCATGTTTGTTATCAACATCCCATCCGGGCTGCCAAGTCAGGGGCTTCAGGGGCCTCCAGGGCTAATGGCACAAGACACCGTGTGGAGGGTGGTGGAAACCGGGAGCTGACAGACATTGCTTTGTTCTAAATCCCTGTCTCATGGCTCACTGGTGGCGTCTGAAATTTCAGCTCCTTCATTATTATTCTCCTATGTGGCACATTTTCCAGCCCAGAAATACAGCCAGAGAAAACACATAATGAGCTCCTCTTTTGGTGTCAGCTGAGGGCCTCCTTTTTCCAGGGTGAGCTCTCCTGGGACAAGCATTTCTTACCGGTGCTGCCATGATTTGGGGGCATTTTAATGAAGCTTAAGAGTTTTATCTTCCTGCCTGTTTCTCAGGTTTATGAATTATCAACCCTTTCTTAGGCTGACAAGCTCATCTCTCCCTTTGTTCTGCAGTCGCTCAGATCATCATTTCATTGTGGCTCCTGCACAAAGGGCTTTTTGCAGGGTTCGGCACAGGGGCAAGAGAGAGAGAGGAAAGCGGATCCTGCAACCCGAGCTGGGGGCTGCATGGGAATCATTCTGCCTGGGGTCCTGGGCAGGTTCCCTGTAGGAATAAGACAGGGAACTTCACTCAGAGGAGCTTGCGGAAAATGTCTGCATCCATTCACTTGTCTGTGGTTCAGGTTTCTGGGGAGAGCTCTTGTCTGAGGGTAATTGGGAGAAGATTCTGGAAGGCAGGGGAGGGGCACATTCAGAAGCGGCCTGGCTGGACGGAAGGCCCTACTGATTTAACCTATGAGGCTTGGCCGTGGGTAGGGGGCTTCCACCCACCAATAGGACCCAGCCCTGGGACTCCATCTCTCTGCTCTTGTCTCCCTACTGGAGATACTTGAGATTTTTTTTTTCAAGGATATACTGCCTGAACCTACATCCTGTGCCCTGCACAGAGAGGCCTGTCCTGCATAGCTTGCTGTGTAGTCCAGCACTGGAGAATGATTCTGTGTACCTTGGTTCTCCCAGCTATAAAATGGGCAGAGTCATCTCTTCCTTTCCTATGGCCTTGAGGTCACCTCTGACAGGTGGCAAAGGCCCAGAGAGGGCAGGATGCAGGAAGCTCCAATCAGGCTTGGCCAGGTGCCCTTCTTTTCTGCTTCCAGATGCCCAAGAGACAATGCTTGTTATCAGTCAGGGAGACCTGGCTGCAGATCCCAGTGACACTGTTTACTAGTTGGTGACCTTGAGCAAGTCACTCTACTCTCTAAGCCTCAGTTTCCTCATCTGATTTACAGAAATTCAGAGTTGTAATAAATGGATGTGCAAGAAGCAAGTCCCACTTTTCTCTTCTCCTTACATGAGATGTCTCCAGAATCCTAGAGAGTTCTCTAGGGAGCCCTTCCTTATGGCAACTTTCTGAGCCCCTTGACACTCCTGTCAGACCCCCGGAGAAGACTGCTGTCTGTGTCCAGGTGTGGAAGGAAAGTATGCAGATGGCAATAGTGAGAAGGTAACTCTGTGAGGCGTTGTAGAGGTTAGGAGTTGACCCTCTAAGAGGACCCCTCAGAGGCAGTGTGCCCACCTAGCCCCCAGACCCTAAGAGTCAAGCTCTGTCCCTGGCATGTACCAACAAGACTCTGGAGGGTCAGCACATGTGGTGTGAATACAGCCCCCAGCTGACATGCACTGGCCTTAGGCTGGAGAGGGACATCTAAGATCCAGTCCCTGTTTTGCAGCTAATGGCTATGTGACCTTGGACAAAACATCACCTACCTGGGCCTCAGTTTCAACTGATGTTTGAGGGTCCTTCCAGCCCTGCAGTTACTAAGTGAGGAGCTTCAGGATTGATCCCCAGGGCCATGTTGCATGGAGGAGCCTGCAGCAGTGTTCAGCAGGGGTGGTCTCACTGTGGATCTGTATCCAGGGCTGGCCCTGCAGGCTCCTAAGCCCCCACCTCTCCCTATCTAACGAGTCTTAAGGACTGAGGAGGAGGATCTGAACACAGTGTGGTGTACCAGGCACTGGCTGGCTTTACATGTACACGGTCACTTAATTCTCACAGCAACCACAGTATTTCCCCATTTTGCAGGTGGGGGAAACTGAAGGTTCAGAAAGTTCAAGAGACTTGCCCAAGGTCATACAGTCAATAAGAAGAAAAGCAGGGGTTTGAACCCAAGACATCTGACACCAAAGCCTTATGTTTGTTCACTGTTATTTGCCTTCTTCCAGGAAAAGAATTTCTCCCAGAAAAGGTCAGGGATGTGGCAGAGTTAAAGTGTCCACTGACTTCCTTTAGAGTGAAAAAAGAGACTCTGTGTGTCAGTGAAGTGAACTTGAGTCAGGACTCATGGAAGTTCCCCACCCCGACTCAGTTATGGCATTGCAGTGGTTAACAAAGAGAGAAGAGCCTGCTCCTAGGGAAGGGGTGGGACAAGGCAGGGGGTTGGGGGAGCTGCTTGAATCTGTGGGAAGGATCACCCTTTGCATGGATTCCAGAACCTGATGGTGCCCTGTGAGTACAGGGTCCTGGGTACCCACTCTTTGTGCCCCCTCCTCCCCCATCTTGGTTCCTCCATCTATAAAATCAAGCAGAAAGTGCCAGCTGCCCTGAGATCCCTCAGGCTGATGGAGGGTGGGTTGGTTGTGACAACCGCTAGGGCACATATCAAGGTCTCTCGTGAGGGCAGGCCTGGCTGTCATCCCTTCTTGGAGAGTAGCCCTGGAGCATCTGGCAATGAGCCTGCCCAGCTGCCTGACGCTCCCTCAAACTTGTGCTGTTTCCTCTGTCTGTGGCCAAGGTAGGGGATGAGATTGTCCGGATCAATGGATATTCTATCTCCTCCTGCACCCATGAAGAGGTCATCAACCTCATCCGCACCAAGAAGACTGTGTCCATCAAAGTGAGACGTAAGTGAGGCCAAAGGACAGGGGGTTGCCGATGGTGGGGTGGGGGTGGGCTTGACAGCAGGGCACCCAGATCCTGAGGAGGCAGGGGGAACAGAGGAGTCATCCTAACCCCCAGGCCTTTCTCCCACAGACATTGGCCTGATCCCGGTGAAGAGGTGAGCAGGAGTCTCCCTGTGGGCAGCCAGACTCTTCCCTGTGGGCTCAGGGTCCTGGGATCAGTCCTGGATCTGGCTTCTCCCAGGCCAGCGCTGCTCCTGGACAACAGTGACTGGAGGATCCAGGTGGGGCAGATCTGGGTTTGGAGCCTGGCTCCTCAAACATCTCTCCCGAATGACCCCTTTCTACTTTCCCTTCCCACCAGCTCTCCTGACGAGCCCCTCAAATGGCAGTATGTGGACCAATTTGTGTCAGAATCTGGGGTAAGGGCCAGGACCACCGGTGATGGGTCTGCATGGGGTGGTCTTCAAGGAGGGCAGCAAGTCCAGAAGGGTGGGCTCGCTCTAGGGATGTGCCTTCAGGAGCTTCACACAGGCCCCCAGGGCACCCAGCATGTCCCTATGGGCTGCAGACCTTCAGCCAGACCCAGCTGGTGCAGACACCCTGCCCCCCACCAAGACAGAATGGCCATCAAGCTCATGTGGGGACAGCAATGTTTGCTGTGAAGGGCTTTTGAGCTCAAGAAGCCATTTGCACACATGTGGACACCCAGTGACCCTTATTCTATCCCTCCTCCAGGGTGGGCGGAGCAGTCTGGGATCCCCCGGAAGTCGGGAAAACAAGGAGAAGAAGGTTTTCATCAGCCTGGTGGGCTCCCGGGGCCTTGGCTGCAGGTGGGTCACAGGCATGCCCTGGGGCTCACTAGTGGCCAGTAGACCTCAATAGGTCCCTAATGCCTCTCCCCTTCTCACTGCTACTTCTGAGGAGACTTTTGTCCACTGAGGATGACACTTCCTCTCTGAGCTTCACGGCAGCCCTGTAAAGGGAAAGTTCTAATAGGCCCGTTTTACAGATAAAGAAACTGAGGCCCAAAGGTAGAGCCATGTTCCTTTGGTGAGCCCTCAAGTCACTGTAAAAGAGCCTGTCCAGCTGGTCATCTCTGTCACAGTTCCCTTGTCACTTGTTACCTGTGGAATTCCTTAAGAGGCAACCAGGAAATTGGAAATAGGTATCAGGCCACACAGGGCATTCTTGTTAAGCACACAGGAACTACAATCATAGATCTAGGTTCCAGCCCCTGCTCTGCCACCTGTGAGCCTAGAACCTTAACCACTCTGAGCCTCAGTTTTTCTCTCTATGAATTGGGTTGTTGTGAGGAGGGCTAAGATGCCTGAGGTACCGAAATTAGTGTTTGGTACCTAGACAGCCACTGGCAGATAGTAGCTGTTATTATTTAACTTATTCTTATGATTTCCATTTATTCCATTTATTCAATGTAAGTGATAAAAAGCCCTTCTTTTCAAAGAGATTAATACAGAGCCTCACAAAGAAGCCAGCTACATACATAGTTAAAGCACAGAGTAACAAGGACTCTGATGGAGCTGCCTTCTGGGTCGAAGATGGCAAATAGGTTTCTTGTCCTGCATTATCTATTGTTAATTAGTGGTGGCTGCCTGGAGTACTATTTTGAAAAGAACTCTAAGGCTGTGTCTAGGCATGGTGGGAAAGAGTGCTGTGATCTGCCACAGAGTCATATCTGCCAAAGATCTCGGAGAGGAGAATAATAGTGCAAGTGCCATCCTTTCTGTAGGTGTTTTAGGAACACCGTGAAGGGAACAGCTAAGTTAGTTTTGGAATAGAAGGAGCTGGGTGAAAACCTTATAGAGGAGATAGCATTTGAATCTTAACGAATGAAGACGAAAATGCTAGAAAGAGAGGAGAAATGCATATGCAACACATCAGATGAGGGGTTGGGTAGGGGGGCCGTAATTTTCTATGGCTCTGCCACAAGGAAATAAAGCTGGACAGGTAGACAGCAGAGGGCCTTGGGTGCTGAGCTCACAGATGACCTGCATCCCGAGGGGCAGGAGCACGAGATACACAGGCGTAGGGGGCAGGACACTGGGAATGAGCAGGTGCTGCAGGGGATGAGCGCAGCCTCACTGCCTTTCTCATGTCTTCCACAGCATCTCCAGTGGGCCCACCCAGAAACCTGGCATCTTCGTCAGCCACGTGAAGCCTGGCTCCCTGTCTGCGGAGGTGGGGTTGGAGGTGAGTGGCCCTGGGCCAGCCCTAGTGGAGCCCCCGTGGGGTGCGGGTCAGCGCGATCACACAATGATGGAGTCATGTGCCTTCGCACACAGCCCTCCCTCAGCAGTTACTGGCTGATGATTCCCACTCACCTCTCAAGGGAAGGCTTCCTAGAGGGGGTGGCATTTGACTCTTTTTACAGTCCTCTCCAGCTCTGAGAGTCTTTGGACCTGAGCTTGGGAATGCAGTAATAATAAAGTAAGAGTTGACATTCATTGAGTGTCTACTGGATCAAACATGGTTCTAAGCCCTTTAAAATGTATAAAAACTCTGAGAGTTAGGTGCTCTCATTATACTTATTTTACAGATGAAGAAACTGAGATCTAGAGAAAACTGTGGTTTTCCAAGATTATGTATCTAGTATGATAGGGCTGGGATGCACACCTAGGTGGTCTGATGCAAGAGCCAGAACTCTTAGCCTCTACTTCGAACAAATTACTTCCTGTTTCTGTCCTGCTATTTCCTGTCCTGTAAAATGGGGGTTATAGCCTTCTGTGGTCATTGTGTGGATTGAATGAATTAATACGTATGCTGAAAACTGTGCCTGGCACATAGAAAGGGATCGATGAATATTAGGTATTATACCAATTATTATTGTAACTTAACACAGTCTCTGCCATATGTGGAACCCAAAGGCTCCTATATCTATGAACTGAGTTTTTAAAGCAAATGTCATAAATTCAGCTAAAGGAATGAACCTCTAATGATACAATATTCAACAGCTGATAAAAGAGATAGGAGGTGGAGGGGCCCTGTAAGGACCCCTTCAGAGCTTTCCAACTGCTCTGTTCATTGGGAAGAGTTGAGATGCAGTCACTTGAAAACCTAATGTGTGATCCTGGCCTCCAGAGAAAGCCTTCCTGCAGATGGGTGAGTGTACAGATAGTGCAAACATGCTGATCCCTCTCCATTCCTCCACCAGACTGGGGACCAGATTGTTGAAGTCAATGGCATCGACTTTTCCAACCTGGACCATAAGGAGGTGAGGTGTGGGGTCTCTACCTGCTGGTGTGGCCATGTCTGCACTACAGGTCCCATGCCCCTTCCCCTGCATGGGGGAAGAGACCTGTGCTTCCCAGAGATCCTGATTGCTCTCTTCTTTTGGGCCGCATCTGACTGTCTGCTTGTCCCCACAGGCTGTGAATGTGCTGAGGAGTAGCCGCAGCCTGACCATCTCCATTGTAGCTGGAGCTGTAAGTCCAGAATGAGCTGGTGGGAGCCCCTGACCCCTGACCCCCAGTCCCGCAACTCAGATGCCTGATCTCTGCCACATGCTCCTGGGAAGGTACAAGGTGTCTCCCTCCCTGAAGCTCTGACAGAACAAAGGGAGAGCATGTCTGCCTAGCCAGGGGAAGTTTGACAGGTCAGAGAGCAGGAGCCCCAGTGCCTGACACTAGGGGCCACAGCAATAAGAAGACAGCCCACATCTTGGCTCCTAGGGCTGTGGCAATGGATGCCCAGGTCCCCTGAAGGACTGAGCACTGGGCCTCTTTTCTCCCACAAGGGCCGGGAGCTGTTCATGACAGACCGGGAGCGGCTGGAGGAAATGCGGCAGCGCGAGCTGCAGCGGCAGGAGCTTCTGATGCAGAAGCAGCTGGCGATGGAGTCCAACAAGATCCTCCAGGAGCAGGAGGAGATGGAGCGGCAGTGAGTGTGACTGCCCAGGATGCCCCTCCCCACCCTCCCAGACCATATAACCCCACCTGCTTTGCTTCCTGACCACTGCATCCAGGGCCAGCTTCATCCTCTCCCTGAGGCCTGTCCTCAGAACAGAGGGGTTCAGTGGTGGTCGGCAAGTCCTTCCCCTACCTCCAGACCACTGGGCCTTTCCCTCATTGCCAAGGAGAGCCCTCGATTTCCAAGACCCGATAATATAGAAAATAAGGATGTTACTAGCATAGCCAGGATTCGCTGAGTACCAGCCATGTGGTTGGCATTGTATTAGGGCTTTGTTTATGTTACTTAATTTTATTCCCATAATATCTCTGGGAAATAGGCGGTATTAACCCATTTAACAAGTAAGGAGACTGAGACTCAGAAAAGTTAAGCCACTTGTGTAAAAGTCAGGTGGGGGTAGATGGTATTAACCCATCTGACAGGTGAGGATACAGACTCAGGAAAGTTAAGCCACTTGTGGACAAAGTCACTTGTGGCTGAGCTGGGAGTCACACCTGTCTACGGTGATGAGAACCATCCTCACTGGGGTGGGCTGAAATGGTGGACTGAGAGAATAAATGGGGTGAGCAATTCATAAATCAAAAACTACTATAAATTAAAATCCAAATCCAGGTACATTCGAGGACATAATAACAATTTGGGAAAAGAGATAACACCATTGCAAACATGGTAGCTCTGCCCTGGCCTTCGTTAGCTGTCCTGGCCACAGGACCAGGGTCTTACCTGGCCTGGAGGCCTAGGGCCCTCCTCTCGGAGGACCTCCCTCAGGCTGGGCCCTGCTTCTCATGTCACTTTATCAGGTGGTTGCAGGTAGGCACAGAGCGCGGCCCACATTGACCTGCCTCCCAGCTCCAGCAGCAGGGAATCTCTGCTCAGCAGCGCCGAACCAAACCGCAGGAAAGCACAGGGCCCGACTCTGTTGGACCCACGTCCTCAACATCCAGATCTAGTCCAGACATCCTTGGAAGGGAGCCTAGAAGAAATATTTTGAATTTCTCTCAAGTCAGGAGTTAACCACAAAGAAGAGTTAATGTCTCTTGCATAGACTCCAATGTGCCAACCTGCGTTTGTGTTTCAGAAGAAAAAAGGAAATTGCCCAGAAGGCAGCAGAGGAAAATGAAAGATATCGGAAGGAGATGGAACAGTGAGTGCCCTGGCTGCACGGGTCTGCACGCGCACGTGTGTGTGTGGACATGTGTGCGCTCTCGGGACTGTGGCAGTCAGAGGCCACCTCCAGGCCCTGTTTGCCTGGCCCTCTTGCCCCCTGATGGATCCTCCTTTATTTGTAGCTATTCCATAGTCCTAGCAGAGCCCCTTGTGTTAGGGTAACTAGAACACAGCCTCACAATTGGCAGGGTGGCATTCACACCCTATTGAGAACACCAGTGCCAGGGACTTTGTTTTCTTCACCACAACTGGAACCATCCAGCCTCTTCCCAGGCTAGTTGGGGTTCCCAGATAGGCAGAGGTGGGCCTTTGGAAGTTCTGGCTCCAGTCATAGGCATGGGGGTCTTATTTCAGGATTGTGGAGGAGGAAGAGAAGTTTAAGAGGCAGTGGGAGGAAGACTGGGGCTCAAAGGAACAGCTGCTGTCGCCTAAAACCATTACCGCTGAGGTGCACCCAGTACCCCTTCACAAGCCAAAGGGTATGTATCATGTGCTGGGGAGAGGGGCTTCCTTCAGGGCTTGGGGCCTGGCAGAGGGGGTCTAGACAGAGATGCTGGTCTCCCTCCACTCACACCACCTCCCCAGGTGAATAGGGCTCTCTGAGCTGCGTTTCCTTCATGGAGAGGCAGCTGTGTGCCAGGGCCCTGAGGCAGGTGGGATCTGTCTGCTCTCCTTGCCCTGGGGGCCTGCTGCCAGGTCTTCCCCACAACCTAGGGTCAGGCATGCAGACCCCTCCCCATACTCTTGGGCTGCTGAAGAGGGAATGGAGAGCTGGGGTGACAGTGAACTGCTCATCTTTGTTGGCTGTCGGGTCCTCCTTGCTTGGTTCTGAATCAGTGCTGGGCAAAACAGCAGCAAGAAAGAGGGGCAGGGGCTCATGTTAGAGAGACTCTGATAGTCTGATGCTAATGGGTGACTGTGGGAAGAAGTTACCCAGAGTGCCACCTGCATCCTTGTTCACAGACTGTAGTCACTCCCTCCAAGGATGGAGTCAGGCTGAGGACTGTGAGGCCCTCCCAGGCGCCATAGTGCAGCCGCCCTAGGGCCTCAGCTCCCTCTGCCCTTCCCATCTCCTTTCTTCACCTGTCCCAGTTTCTCATGTTCATTCCAGCCCAGGCCTTCACCAGCTGCTCGCCTGTCCACCTCCTCTCGATCCCAACTCCAAGGATGTCTTTTCAAGGAGCAGCTTACACTACCAGGGCCAAGTGCAGCGTGGGGGCCTCAGTCTCAGTGCTTCCTCCAGGAGCTAGTGGTGGGAAGCCAGGAGCAAGGCACTTGGGGGCCATGGCAGTCACAAGTCCCAGATTCCAGGTTGGATCTGACTCTCACTTTACATCTATTGCCACTTGTACTTGAAGTGGGGCAGGTTCTACTTCAGCTGACTGTGCTCAGCTGGCCTGGGAACCTCCAGGTATGGGGTGAATCACACCCGAGAACCGAGATTCCCCATCTCTGCTGCATGGCAGCCACTTGATGTCCTGTAAGGGGTCCAGACTCCTCTAGCCCCAACCTTGGATCACACCCAAGCCGCAGAAGGACATCAGCTTGCCCGCACAGGCCCACTGGGTCAATGAAGAGGCATGGGGCATCTGGATAATTCCATTTCAACCTTCCCTGGTACAGGTCAGAACAGCTCCCAGCACATTCCTTCCTGGCCGCAGAGCATGGTGTCATCTCAGTGTCCTCCTGGAAGGACAAAGAGGCTCTCATCAGCTTCCCCCATGACATTCGGTATTAATTGAGGATGTGGCCAAATCTAAATTCCCAGTGAATAATCTGTGTTTTAGACAGGGAGCTAATTTGCTTTTATGAGTGAAATAGGAGCTTTAGAAGGAGAGAAATCAATTTTAATTGCTTTTCATGAAAATAATCCTAGTCAATTTAGTACCTTCCTAGAAATTGGGCCTTGGCTTCAGAGCAAACACACCCTCTCAGGAACAATAGAAAATAAAAACCCTTTCTCTAGCTAACTATTTATTTAGTGCTTTTAAACCAAATCAAGTTCCTTAAATAAAGGAGCAAGAATGCTCCCTTTGCTCAAGATATAAATGTTTTCTAAGGGAATGCCATTAAGCCTCGGATTGATGACTAAAGTTGGCTGGCGTGAGCTGGGGCAGCTGCTGCCTTCATCCATCTCCATATGCACCAGCAATTTAATTCTAATTTGGATGTAAGTCAGTAAATACAGGAAGGCCTCTGAGCCAGCTCCTTTCCTGCCTCTTTTCCCATTCGTGGGAGGCTGGAATGGTCTTGCTCATTTGGGGCCCTGGTCACTCTTCAATTCTGGGGCCCTGTTAGCTGACAAGTTATGCCTGGCTCTAGTGTCTGTGCCTGGGAGGAGTGGACCCCATATTTTTTAATAGTGTTGAGTGTGCAGCATCTCTTAGCTGGAAAATAAAGCCACTCATTCTAAAGATGTGGGTAGGACTGACTTTCCGCTCTCCACAACCTGTCCCAAGGGCTCTGCCTATCTACCTGTGGCTGACCCAGCAGGGCCCCAGCACTCTGCCGAGCTCCACTTCCAGGACACTGTCACAGAGGCCCTCAGAAGGGCTTTCCTTAGCTAAAGCAATGAAGGGGGTAGATTTTTACTAAGGATCCCAGAGCTGGAAGAAGCCTTAAGAGTTGAAGTTTAAACAAGAGATTTCTAGCTTTTTCTCCCTCTCAAGGACTCCATCAGCTAGCCCTCAACCCCCATAGACACCACGGTTTGGAAATTAAGGATTTTTTCCTGCCAAGCTATTAAGTAACCATTTGTGTTCCTGTTGTATTAAGTAGCCATTCTCCTTAGCAAGAAAGCATCAGTGTTCCACAGTGGAGTAAACATAAATCAAGCCAAAAGCAAAGGAATTTAATGTACAGCCTTTTCATAGGTTAATCGGTAAGTTCTTCAAGTTAATATTTGAAATATTAATAAACAGCTCCAGCAGACTCATACACTCCCTTCCATAGCCCCAGGGAGGCCAGAGTCCAGGTTAGAAACCACTCGAATGGATGGTTTGTTGTTCTCCACATTATGTCAAAATTCATGTCTTTTAACCACATTGTGCCCTTTTACCCTTTGGTATCTCCTCAATTCCTCATGCTCCCAACCCACCCACGCATCTCTGACACCCCCCAGGGACCCAGAACTCCAAAGGTGGGGAGGAGAAGCTGAGGAAGATCTGTTCTCCCATTGCAGGCCCTAGGCACCAAAAGGTTTCAACACTCAGATATTCCCATCCTCTGTACCATACCCCCAAGACTCAGCTGAATACCCTGCAAAACAGTTCTCACTCTGCTGTCAGACCAGAGGCCCCTGTTGTTAGCCCATTGTACAGGCAGAGAAAGTAAAGCTACCAAAGTTAAAAGCATTTTATGTGCCATCCCAGAGCAATAAAGCTTTGCTCTGGGCTCCTGAGCCCTGGTCCTGCCCTTGACCTCGCAGCTTCCATAGAGGAGGCTGGTCACATGTCCCCAGGCTCCTGGGAAGCACCTCTGGCCTCTTGGTCTCCTGAGTCCTTCTTGGTTCACCAGCTTCCTCCTCTTTTCCTGGGTAGATGATCAGGGAGTGGAGCCTGAACTTGAGCTGGCAGACAACCCGGACGGAGGCACGAAGGAGCAGGGAGAGCAGGTTTGCGGTCCCCGCTTTGCTCCCTGGCCTTGCTGCTTGCCTGCCCATTTCATCCGCTAGCCCTAGAGACACCCAACTCCAAGGGATCAGCAGGTGGTGGGGACCACTGGGATCTTGGACCAGCTTGGGCCAAGCACTTCACAAAACACCTTGAGGACAGGACTCATGGCCAGTCTGAAATGTCCACTGGTGCACATCAGTGCAACCAAACCACTGGTTCAAATATTTAAGTATTGCTCAAGCCCAAGTCCTTCCTCAGCTACTCTGTCTTATCCCCTAGGACACACTAGGTCTCCCCAAGATGGAGCAACTAAGGGGGTCGTGCTTGATCCAGCAGGGGGCTTTCAAGATCCTGTTCCAGAACTCAAGCTGGTCAGGGCGGGTCATTATTTAAACCATCACTGCTGGCCCAGGGAGGCTCAGGTTTGAGGTATTATCCCATCACACTGGTGTCTGGGGAAGGCAGGGGCTGGTGCTTTGGATCCTTGGCCTGGATGGGGATACGCTTTTCTGGGGGCAGATCACCTGCCTGCCTGCTGTTGCCTGAGCTGTGTTTCCCAGAGCTGACCCCAGTCATTGCCTTCTCTCAAGGCTGAAAGTGGAGGACATGGCCTGCACTATGAGACAAGACACTTCTGTTCTGTCTGGCAGCAATTCTAGGCAGACACCCAGGCTCCCTTTTGTTTCAAGCCCTTTCTTGGATGGAAGGCCCAGATGTCAGTCACGAGAGTCCTGGTTCTTGAGCAGGGCTCTGTGTTTGCAGACTGTGGCTGTGACTTGGAAAAGCTCAGGCTCCCACAAGGGCTTTCTCTGTGATTTTCTGGCACTGACTTCTGCAGCCAGTGTCCTAGGGAGAGGCAGTGATAGGGGCCCAGGGGCTGGGAATCAGGGCTTTTCCCAGGCAGTCTTGGCCTGCTTTAGAGCCCAGGCAAGGCCAGGTAAGTGGATCAGAGGGTACTGCTGTGCCGTCGGACCTGCCCAAGCTGCTCTTTCTCACAAAGCCACATGTTCCTTGACCCAGCTGTGGCCATCCTGCTGAACTTTGTCTCATCTCTTGGTTTCTTGTGTTCTTATAGCGTTTGGGTGGTTCTATCGTTACGATGGCAAATTTCCAACCATCCGGAAGGTAGGACAGGATGCGTGCTGTGCCATTTGCTGCTGAGTTTGCTGTGGGTTTTGACTTTTTCCAAACATTGTGTCTATTTCTGTCAACTCTAAACAGTGTGACCCGGCCTGTTCCCTGGGAGGGCAAACCCCATCTGTGCCTCTGTCTAGCTGACATCAAGTGACAGGGTGTGGGGGGCATTGTCAGGGGAAATTATTCATGGGTGAGACCGGCCCAAGTACCATCAGGCATCTCCTGCCTCAGCTTTAGTCCCACAGGGCTGTGGTAGGAAGCTTCCATTTTGTTCCTTTGTCAAGTAGAATACTGGAAGCTGAAGTCAGACAGAGTGAAGTACCAGGTTGGGTGCACACGGCAAAGGTTATGAGACCAACTGTGCCAGGCCCAGACTGGCTGCCGAGGTGGGGGTTTGTTGCCTCGGGCTGGGACAAAGAGCCACACCAATCAAAACGCTCTCCTAGAAATATCTCTGCACATTCCCAGGATAATGCATTTTTCTGGTTTCTGAGGCCTTGAATTTTCTCTCCAAATCTTATTACTGTATCTCCAGGCTCCATAAAACTGTCATCCTTTTTCCTTCTAAATCACTTTGGCATTTGATTACGAAAACACTGCTGTTAATATCTGTAGATTGGACGTTCAAGATGACTTGGTATTTGGAAACCAGGCATCGCATAAATCTGGATGAACTAATTTAGGTGTTATCACTCGACCAGCTCTTCCTGGCAGGATGTGGGTCCCCCAGAAACCAAAGCACTGGCAGCTGGGTGACCTTGATGATATCTAATTTCTGCCTGCCTATAAAATGGGAATATCTAATGTGCCAGAAACATCTGCCCCTTCCTTCAATACAATACTACTAAGATAATAGACAGGAATATTCCTGACAGAGGGGAACTTTAGCTAGGAGCATAGGTCATGGTCTAAATTTAGGAGAATCCTTTCCACCCTGCCATGGTCTCAGAAAGGACTTGGTCTCTTAAGACTGACTGTCTTCTTCATTTTATGGGCCGACTCTATGGTTTAGGCTGGCTCACTGGGTTAGCTTCTAATTCTCTACATACTGTCTCTACTAGAACTCAACTAGAGAGAATAACACACATGCAGGATTTTATTTGAGAAAGTGATAAAAGGGATGGATAGGTAAACTCTTTTCCAGGTGCTAATAACTAGGTAAATGTAAAAAAAGAAGTAGAGTCTCCTCTACACACACAACTCCCATCAGAACTCATGTCACTTGAGAATTGCTGTGGTAACAAGTCAACCTGTTTCCCCCTGTTTATTAGTTCAGTCAACAGCTGGTATTTTGGATTTCATTTCGTTTGCAAAAGAGAGGAAAAATTGCTTCTAGGTAGAATCCACCCCATCTCCTCTCATTCTGGACCTAAAGGAACATTTGCAGTGAGTTTAACAGCAGCTGAAAGGACAACAGAACCATGTCCCTCATGCTCGCTCTGAAAACCCACCATCATTTTCTCTAGAGCGTGTCAGATACTTTGTCTCACCAGCTGGAACATCAAGTCCCCAGGTGATACAAGTGGCTAGCTATGGCCATGAACATCAACCTGCAAAATTCATTTTATTTGAACAGATAAAGATTTGATGTCTTCTACTCTTAACCTGGCAATACGTCCATCTAGGGCACGATGCCCTCACATCTGGGCCCCACAAAGTCCATTCTGGGGCCTGAAGAATTCTGACTAAGCCCTTTCACCAGAGCTGCTCGAGTAAATCACACACCAGCCCTGCCTGCAGGAGCCCACCATCTGGCAGGGGAGGCATATTTACCATTCAGCTAAGCTGTATGGAAGGGGCTGGTGTGAGACCAGTAGACAATGCTATGGGACAACTTGCTCTTCTGTACTGGTAAACAGGAGCTTCTTTCTTGGACACGGGACAGAAACTGTGACATTTGTCTGCCCCATCGAGGGGACCCTAGCTCTAAAAATCTTAGCATTGGTGGGTTTTGGAAACAGAATGGCTATTGCTATTGCGTTGGTCCCCGTGGGAGGCCAAACCCTTATTCTAGCAAGTTTCCATTAGGCAAAATGTTTCTGGCTCCTCTTAGGGAGTTGCTATCTAAATCTATAACATGATGGCAGGGATTCATCTATCAACTGAGCCAAGAGTCTTGTGAACAGGGTAGGCAAAGGACCAAGCAGGACTCTGAAGCAATGGAAACCGTTTTCTCAAGTGGCTCATAGACTCCTCTGGGGATGGATCCCATCACTCAAATGGGGGTGTGTCTCCAAAGCAATTATCTGTACATGGAGGTGGGGGTTCTCTTTAGGAAGGGAGGAAGGGTGACTCAGTCATAGGTCCATAATGACCCGCCAGCTCCCTCCATCTCTGGATGAAGTGTGTCCCTTGCTGGGAAATTCAATTCCTCATCCCAGCCTTAGATGCTAGAATGATTCAGGAATTCTGAAAGCAGGTCCCAGAAGAGCTTGTTGAGAGTGGGGATGAGCTCAGTTTACAGGCGAGTTTCCTCCTTTCCCCCAAAACCCCCCAGAATGTTGACCCTCTCTGCTGTCTCCTCCTCCTGTGTTCTAGCTCTGTCCTCCATGCTGTGTGTGAAGGTCCTAAAGCTCCAAACTGCCATGCTCCCATGCCCCCAGCTCATCAGGCACAGTAGAAAATATGGCTTAGGTTCAAATCCTGGCACTCTTACTTACTAGATGTTTGACATTGGGCAACGGACTTCACCTCTCTGAGCCTGGGCTCTTTTATCAAGAGAACAGGGATAACACCTGCATATGAGATGATCAATGTAAATGCCTTGGCACATAGGCAGTCTATAAATTAATTCTCTCCATTCCTCTTTCTGGGCTTCCCTGCAACCCGATGACAGAAGCAGCCAGGAATGCAGGCTTTTTGGGTCCTGCATCTCCATTCCCAAATCCTCTTAAAACCCGACAGCCAGGGAAAAGCAGCTAGGTGATCTTCTCCCTGCACACTCTTCTCCCAGTTCTGTAGTTTCTGGCTAATCCTCAGTTCAGGGGCATAGTTCAGAGGGAACAGTGCACTCTCCAGGATGAAATAGTCTGGAGCTTAAGCATCAGGGCAAAATCTGATGTTCTGGCTCTGGGCTCTGAGATCTGAGGCCAGATCCCACCTCCTCTAGCTTAGGATGGATGACCTCTGCCAAATGATGCTTGCCAGTTCTCCCTGATTTTCTGTAGAATCTCCCAGGATGCATCTGTCATATCTGGACATGAGACATCTTTCTCTCCAGATGGAGAAGGCACGTGCCCAAATACTAGGAAATAAATACAGTGCCTCTTATTTATACAGTCCTTTGATGTTTACAAAGCTCTTTTATAGATGTTATTTTATTGGCTCTGAATGGCAAGCCTATGGGGCAGATATTTCTCACATTTTGGAGATGAAGTGAATCAGACCCAGACAGGTTAAGGAACTTAGCCAAGATCACACATCTAGTTAGTGACCTTAAAAGTTAGTTCTTCCTGCTGGTAAAGGCATGGGTAGCAGTGGCCTGCCTGTCCTAAACCTGAGGTCTAGTGCCCAGTGTGAAGGGTCACAGCAGGGGAGGGGCTCACCGTGGGGTGGTTGCCTGGTGTTTGAGGATTGAGTGTCCTGTTTGCTGTGCTGTGCCAGTGTCAACACTACCTTGTAACCCTTGTCATGAAAACAATGCCACATCTCAGAAAGGAAAGGATAAGAAGAAAGCCAAGTATGACAGCCTGCAGGAATTGAGAAAAAATAAGAAGGAACTAGAGTTTGAGCAAAAGCTTTACAAAGAGAAAGAGGAAATGCTGGAAAAGGAAAAGCAACTGAAGATCAACAGGCTGGCCCAGGAGGTAGGTCTGACTCCTAGGCCCACCCCTGGGACACAGTGTGCTTGTTCCCTACCGTGCTGCCAGAGAACCAGCTGGAGTTGTTCTCCCCAAATGGAGAGCAAGGATGGAGTGAGCCCTACCCCACTCCTCAGTCTGGAGAGTGAGATTATGCCCCCTGCTCTAGCTTCTGATTGAGGTGTGTTTGGGATAAGACTAGCCTCCTGGGTCTGAAGCTAGGCTCTCTGCTCAGATTGTAGGGCTTAGTTTAGCCCTCTGCACATCTGGTTAGAGGTCTGAGTCTGTCCCCTCCACCACCCGACAACCAAATTATGAGTCCATGACTAGGCCTCTCCACCCTAGGTGTGGCTATGAGACCCGTCTCCCTACTCAGGGTGTGAGTCCAAGGCTAACCCCTCTGCCTAGATTGTAGACCTGAAGTTAGCCTTCCACCCTCCTGTCATAGGTTGAAGTCAGTTTGGTCCCTTCTTACTCAGATCCTGAGTTCAAAGCTAGGTTTCCCCCACCTGCCTTGGCTTTGAGGATATGGATCTGAGGCTAACCCCTCTGTGCAGTTAGGGCATCTGAGGCTAGCCTTCACTTAATCAGGCTATGAGTCTGAGGCTGCTCCCATCAACATAGGATGTGTCTAGGGCTAGAACTGCAACCCAGGAATATATCTAAGTTTGTCCTCTTCAAGACATGCCAAAAGCAGTCCTCTAGCATGAGTAATACCTATTTCCTAGGTGAGCTGAGTGACCTTAACTCCTTAGCTGTGGGAGATATTATTGGTTCTGCTTCTCTTTAATGCTTCCATGAATCAGAATGCCAAGCTAATTAGACTGCAAAACCAGACAAGTCTTGGAAAATGCAAAGTGCATTAAGTCTGACATTAGGAACAAATTAGCTACAAAATTAAAAATAAAACCAAACTTGTACTTCTGAGGACAAGGCAGCCTAGAGGGGGGACAAAAAGAGCAAAGTTAAACTCTTGGAATATGCTGGGATTCTCCAAAAGGACCATTCTTGAAGAATCATGACCTCAGGGTTTGTGGGAACACTGGGAGCCAGCCAACCCCATGAGTGCACGAACCCTTCTCTGATTTTTCCTAAAAGTGACAGTCAACCTGACTGTTTGTCCCTCATTTCCACTCCTCTGTGGCCAGGTGGACTATGCCCGGCTCTTTTTCTAGATAGTTAATACACTCAGTAGTACTCTGGGTTGAAGTGCTTCCATGCTACTGATTTGAGTGTGCCCTTTGTCCTCTCCTTTTCGCGATGGCCTTGGGTTCCAGGTGTCCGAGACAGAGCGGGAAGACCTCGAGGAGTCAGAAAAGATTCAGTATTGGGTGGAAAGGCTCTGTCAGACGCGCCTTGAGCAGATTTCCTCTGCTGATACTGAGATTTCAGAGGTAACAGAAACTTCTTTCCACAGAGCCTCCTGCTGCCTTCATAATGGCCCACCCTGGGAACAGTGGGAAGCCTTGTGGCCACTGGCAAGCATCACCATCCAGGGCTGCCCCTACTAGGCCAATCCCCCTGGCTTTCTTGAGGGGATAGAGCTGTATTTCTGGGCTCTTCTCCAGAGTGACCACTAAGTCCCAGCTAATGTGAAATGGTCCCTGTTGGCCTGCTGGCCTGGTATAATTAGTAAGAGTGCCCCTTTCACTATCAAGTGTGTTCCAGTTTAAATAATAAATTGTATGGTCACCTTAGTTATCACCTACAGATGGCATAACTTGGGGTCCTGCTGCATTTGGACACTCTGCATTTGCCACCTGGTATAAGCTCATATGGCACAGAAGTGACACCCATGGTTCTGGTTTGAGGGTGGTGGATCTCTGGCAGCAAGAGATTAGAAGAGCATTCTGCTAGGTGTATTATGAAGTGGCACACTTCATAATACAGAACTTCTTTGCAACCCCCCAGATGACCACAGGGCCCCCGCCTCTCCCGCCATCGGTGTCTCCCCTGGCCCCACCCCTGAGACGCTTCGCAGGAGGACTACACCTCCACACCACTGACCTGGATGACATCCCCTTGGACATGTTCCACTATCCCCCCAAGACTCCCTCTGCCTTGCCTGTGATGCCCCTCCCTCCACTCTCAAGTCCACCCCCCAAGGCCCCCGCACCTCCTGTCCTCCCCTCATCGGGCCATGTGTGTGCCTCATCTTCACCCTGGGTGCCACGCACTCCACCCGCTATTCCCATCCCTCCCCGGCCATCTATCCCCACCCAAGACCTCACTCCTACCCGCCCGCTGCCCTCAGCCCTGGAAGAGGCACTGGGCAATCACCCCTTCCGCACTGGGGACACAGGCAATCCAACAGAGGACTGGGAAGCAAAAAACCACAATGGGAAGCCCACCAGCTCCCCTGTCCCTGAACGGAATTTCCCGTCCACTCCAAAGGTACTACCCCTGTGCTGCATGCTATACTGGGAGGTGGGAAGAGTGGGGAGGGCTGCTGTTTCCCACAACCCGTACTGCTCCTGTGATGGAGGCAGGAAGAAACATCACCCCACCCCATTTCCAGGAATGAGCTCCCCAACCTGCATGTTGTGGTCATCCTGCTCACTTACAGTGATTTTGAAGTGCTGTATTGCATGGGAATTGCCCATGATATGCTATCAATGTTCATTGCGTTCTCTCTGCTCTCTTGGCTAGTGTGGGCTGACAACATTCAGTATGGTACTTGTAAAGCCATGTTATGAATAGCCAAAGCTCGATGTCACAGTCATCTTTTGATATTGGCCGGAAAGCCTTGATATGGGAAATGAGTCCCCAGTTTAATAGGGGGAAAGCAGTGGAGCAGTACTGGGCACATAAAAGATGTTACAGTGCAGTATTAGGACATTACAGGGACATTTTCTATGGCACATACCAACTAAATTGGGTTGAAGTATAATACCCAGAAATTTCTGGCCAACTTCCAGCTACAGAAAAAATGAAGATGGAAAGTTCTTAGATATCCAAATTTACTATTTAAAGACTAGGATCTTTTTCCTGGATGTCAGGAAGCTGAACAATGATCTTTGTCTAAAAGACATATTTCTTATTAATTTTCCTGAAGCCAAAGACTATTTTGGAAAAGGCAATCCCCAAGGAAGGCAGGGAGCTTTGACCACATGGAGGGTAAAACAAACTCTGCTCCAGTAGCTGTGAGGCCAGGCTGGGGTCAGAACTGAAGCAGCTCGTGTCCGCCGAGGGTGGGAGCTTTAGGTGAGGGCAGGCAGTAGTACCTCATCAGTGGTTTTATTAACCTTCCCTGCATGGGTTTGAGTCCCTGCATGAAGAGCAGCCTAAGCATCTCAGAGCATTCAGGAGAGCTTGGGGGAGGGAAAGCGGGTGTAAAGAAAGCCCCAGATGCCAGCCAGGCTCAGCTTCTGAAAAGGGACTCAAAGGGACTTCCTCTGGAACTCGGATGGGGTCCTGAGCCCAGAAGCTCTGGTAGAATTCTGTCTGTTCCAGGGATGTCTTGCCCCAGAGCCCAGCCAGGAGCAGGTTGGTAAGTGGTTGAGTTAGCCTGGCACAGGCGTCATCCTTAGTGTGAGCAGCTTCTGCTAAGATGGGCTGCAGCTTTTCCTCAACAAATTGGATCCAGCAATCATACTGCCTGAGCGCAGTCTGTGGCAGGGAACGGGGGCAGTGCTGAAGGGGACACAGGAGACGGGCTTGCTTGTGCTCTCAGGGACTTCACCATCTTGAAGAAGGAGCAGCTGACCAGGCAGGATTCAGCTGTAAGATCCACCCAGGCCGGTGCGTGGGAGGGATTCATTTTAGCGGGAAGTCAAAAGCACCTCTGTGAAGGGCTTAGGAGCTGAGCCTTGAGGGATGGCGGTGCATGGAGGATGGGGGAAGGGCAGTGCAGGCGCAGGGAGCAAGAAGATGGCAAGGAGGAATCCTGGCTTCACCACTGGCTGTATGACTTTGGGCGTGAGTTATTTCATCTGCTTGCCCCTGGGGATTCTCATCGGAAATGGAAATGCTATTGGCACCTACCTGTTATGAGGATCAAACGAGTTAATATATGAACTCATTCCAAGTTAATACTTAAGAGAGTGGCAGGCATGAAAAAGGTGCTCAGTAGGCATTAGCTATTATCAGTGACAGATCAGCTGTTACTCTGATCCACAGAGCCATCCATGCTAATTGCAAACATGAGATTAGAGGTAAACCTCAAACTTTTGAGTCAGGGTCACGATTTAAAACAGTTCAGCTTTCTTGGATTCTTCCAGGAATCATGAATTTCCCACTTTTAGTTCCCAGTCAGAGCGCAGGGAATGTGAAAAGCTCCCCAACACAAGGACCCTCTGAAGAACTGGACCCTACATGTTTTAGGTGACCCCAAATGCAGGGTTGTCCCTGATCCAAAGGCCAGAGGTTGCTTTTTGGTTAGCTTCATGCTGCCTGCATCAGCACGTGGGTGCATGCACCACATCCCCTGCCTCATGTGCTCCCCGTGTGCTCCCCATGAGCTGTGATCAGTGCTGCAGAATGAAGTGTGGGTAAGCGCACATCTGCACAGTCAGCCCGGCCACCAGCACGCCTCAAGTGGTGGAGACCCACACCTGTGTCAGCTTGGCGCCTGTGCCTGCCACACCAGCACCTGCCAGAGAAAGGTTTTCAGGACCACATCTCCCCCTAGGCACTGTCCCTGTGGCCACCATACTATTGAATGATGCATTTATTCATTCAGCATATTTCATGAGCACCTACTATATGCCAGACACTATGTGAGGCACTGGAGAACCACCACATGCGTGGGGGTGGAGAGGAAGAGCTCAAGGAATGCTTCCTGAGGGCAGTGGCATCCCAGCTAAGACCTGGGCAAATGAAGCAGAAGGAAGGAAGAGCATGAGCAGAAATCTAGGCAAGAAAGCCTAGCACTTTTAGAAGCTAAAATTAGGCAGTGTGAGGAAAGTAACAAGTAAGGGATGAGGCTGCAAAGGAAGGTAGAGAAGCTATGAAGGACCCTGGGGGTTAAATAAAGGAGCTCAGCTGTCAGTGGGGACCCAAGAAGGGTTCAGACAGGGTTATGAGCCAATCTGATTAATCTTGCCCGTGATCAAGTGGGTGACAGCAAAGCAGACAGGTTGTATCTGCTCTCCTGGATGCTGCTCATTCTGGGCCTTGCCCCTGTCCTCAAGAGACTCTGTTCCACCTGCCAGGAGCAGCAGGTGCCTTGTGTGCAGTCCATGTTCTGAAACTGTGGCCAAAAGAGATAACACCGAGGGAGAAAGGAGGCTGGACGGCACTGTGGCCCCAGAGAAAGCCTTGGAAGTGCATCCTCTGGGTAACGTTGGCTGCTGGTGCCCCATAACCGGGCTCTGGCTCAGGGCCCTGATTCCCTAGAGCCACCCAGTAGTTTCTGTGCCTCAGAGCACACCGTGGCCAACAGATTTCTCATCTATTTGCTGAAGATCATAGCCCTGGGACCTCCTGCAGGGTGAACAGAACAGGCAGGATCAGTATGTGCATGGTGTGAATTTGCATGGGTGTCAAAGTGCCATGGTTGGCCTCGGTAAGCCTCACGTGGGTGTCTCTTAAACTAACCCCTGTAGACATTTTGCCCAAGCCCACAGCCTCCACGAGGCCCCGGCGTGTCCACCATCTCCAAACCTGTCATGGTCCACCAGGAGTCCAACTTCATCTACAGGCCAGCTGTGAAATCTGAGGTCCTGGTAAGCCCCTGGGCCCCCTCCAGGGCACATCTAGAGGAGCAGACAAAAGCTGTCCCCTCTTGGGTTCTGCTGTCTCTGGAGGGAGAGTGAATAGGGATACAAATTCATATCAGCTGCCATCTCATGACCTCATTGGCCAGGAGATGAATCCACAAGGCTATAAGCAGTTCCTGACATGATCAATGGAATTCCTGTTCCTCACTTGACCAAACAGCCTGCAGCTCCATCTAGAAGTAATAATAATAACAGCTCAGACCATGTGTTAGACTATGCAGTGTTTCATTTAATCCAATGAGATGGTTCCTGTTCTTAGCCCTCTTTAACACTGGGGGGCTAAGTTGGTTACCCAAGACAGAGCCAGGACTTACTACTTTCTCCAGAATCATTCAGACTCCAAAGTCCAAGCTGTTACCTACATTGCCATCTTGCCAAAACCTACAGCCATTCCAGTTGTCTGGCCTCTGCCCTGAGGTGTGGTGTGGCATGGAGCACCCTCAGATGGAGGACTGGCCAGCTCAGAGCTACTCCCTTTCCCCATTTCTCTTCTCATGCCTCACTGGAACTGGGAATGTGAGATGTGGCCCTGGGGGAGTGGAAGGGTCTGCACCCCCATCACCGACACATGAGGGGGCTGGGACTCACGTGCAAACCCCCCATCCCAGGGGCACCAGCCACTGACTGGCCTCCCACCCACAGTGGGAGGCAACATATCCAAACGTCAGGGTAGGAAACCCTATCCAAACATCAGGGCAGGACAGCTCAGATACTTACTTTGAGCTTTGGCTATTCTGTCGGCTCCCCAAAGAGCAAGGTGGGTGCTCCTGTGATAGCCTGCTCATGCATCCGCTTCACATTCTCTGGCCAATGACAAGGGTGGTGTCTGCTCGACTAGAACTAAGTAGTTGCTGCATCTGGGGGCATCCCACAGACCCCTAATATAAATCAGGCTGTGTCTGTTTGGGGAAGGATGTTGTCAGGGCAGCCCGAGGCTGCCAAGCCCGGGTTCTGGCACCAGGGGGCAGATGGAAGCTATTGTTAACGTCTAGCGTGGAACTGTTTTTTTTTTCTGGCAGCCACAGGAGATGTTGAAGAGGATGGTGGTTTATCAGACAGCGTTCAGACAAGTAAAAGGATACCTGTCGTGTGTCTGTGATTCTCCCCACCACTCCCTGTCCTTCTTCCCACTCTGACTTCTCTGGAGTGCCTGTTGGCTCTGAGGTGGCCCCAAGCACATCTGCTGGAGCCCCAGGCAAGAGCTGTGTCCCAGATTCCCTGCAGCCAGGGGGCGGGAGGGTCTCCATCAGGTGGGGACTCTGGGCTTGTTACATTCAGTGCCCCAGCTCAGAATGCAGCAGGATCCCTGGGAGTATGGCTCGTCTGCTGCTATCTGTTACAGAGGAGGAGGCCCAGGGATCCTCAGATGTCAGAAAGACCAGATGAGCGCTTGCTGCAGCCCTAAGAGAGAGGAGGGGGCTGCCTGAGGTGTGTCCCTGCCCCTTCCCCTGTCTTGTCTTATCAAGGCAGTTGCAGCAAACCTACCTGAAATTGAACCAGCACAGGGAGGAAGTGGTGGCCCCATCCTCCAGGGACACTCATGTGCGAGGGACATGGCAATCTTTGGTGGTCCATGAGTAGTATCATGCAGGCAGCCACTGACCCTCCCACCTCCCAGGGCTTACATCCACAGGGCCAGCCACTGGACTGGCTGTTTCCCTGCCTATGAAAGAGACCCCACGATGGAGATCTTAGAACCAGCCTCCTCACCAATAACACCACCCGACCACAGGCTGACTTGACTACAGACAGGGGGCAAAGATGGGGTTTCAGCTTAACAGTGAGACATGGGGCTCTGCAAAGAAGGCTGCTCCCAGCCCCGACTGCACAGTGACAGGCGACAGCTATCACTTAGAAGGCATGTTGTGTCAAGCACTGGTTCTAAATATTTTATGTATATTAACTCATTTAATTTTACAACCCTTGGGTAAGTGCTATTATCAACCCCATTTTGTTAGTGAGAAACTGAAACAGAGTGATGAGGAAACATGCCTCCCACGGCACAGCTAGTGTCAGGCCATGGATTTGAATCCAGGAGATCAGCCTCCATAATCGGGCTCCTAAATGCTCTGCCATCAGCCTCTCAAAGCACTGCAAATGACATAGACATTTAAGGGCCTTGCTGTTAGGGACACAGACAGCCCTCAAAGGGAGAGGGCTGAAAGGGGAGGGGTCCAAGGGCCCAGGAGTCAGGTCCTCACTTCACTGCCCTCTGATTGGGTGACTTTGGTCATGAATGTCACCTCTCTGAGCCTCAGTTTCTACATCTGTTGGATGAAAGGTTGAGCTCTCGCTTCAAGGGCTGACCAGCTGTAATGACTTATAGGTTGCTGATCTAAATTCACACAAGACACAAGTACTTGCCATGTGGCCTGTTTCTGAGAGCACATTCTCAGGGGAAAAGAGAGAAGGAGGCCCTTGGTAAGCACTGTCCAGTTTTTCAGAAGGAACAGGCAGGGGCAGGCAAGGCCCTCTCAGTGAAAGAGAACTGACTCCATATCCTGCCTAAGACCCCTCTTGCCCCGGATTTGCTGCATCCCTTACTCTGTCTGCTGCTCTGACACCCACAGACTGGCTTAGAGGTGGCCTCAGAGCTGGGCCTGGCTTGAGACTCCCAGGCTCTTTGGAATTGAGCCCGGGCGATGATGACTAGTGAGGAGGGATGGCCAGCAGAGGCCCAGGGATCCATATGCTGCTATTTGGCCCTCATCTTGTGCCCAGAGCACTGTCGCTGCATGCTGGTCACAGATGGGGCTATGGCCTCCCCACGACACTGGCCACAGGCCCAGGGAACTTGGTGACACTTGATGTGGCCTAGGGAACTGTGGGCTGGGGGTGTACTCTACACCAGTCAAGCAAGGCCTGAGTGGGTCCCTGCCACAGGGCCTCTCCTCTGCTCTCACCTTCCCCGGGGACTAACTGAGGCTTTGTTGCTCTTGGGCTTGGTGTGCCTGGCCCCTGTCTGCGGAGCCTTGGCCCACTGTCTGTGTGACCCCGGGGAAGGTGGTGTGCTCCAGCTCTGCTCCCTTCCTTCTCACAGCCTTGTTTCTACATCTTGGGGATGTTACTCCCACAGCTCTCACCAAGCCAGGTCCTCTGAGCTGTGTGTGCTCCCTCCTCCTCCCCGGCTAATGTTCTGGGGAACCTCTTGCCCCCTAGATAAGCATTGCATTAAGAATAGTGCCAGGCCCTGGGCAAGCGCAGATACCCCACCTTTCCTACTGTCCCTTCCCCCCATCATCCTGTGGCTTATTTCCCCAGAGAGAGCAGTTTCCTGAGCAGTGCTGGTCCTTCTGTGGGGTCAGAGCACTGGGTACAGAAAATCTGGGCTTCATCCCCATAGCCTGGCCCTGGCCTCACATGGGCACTTAGAACTCAGGTGGGGCCTCAAAGACCTGAGGCTATGGGCAGATAAGATCTGCAAGGCTGGCACTGATGGCCTGGCGTCAGTGTGTGCCCCACCAGCCACACACGCCTGCAGGCCTGGCACAGGGCAGGGTCAGGACCATTCAGAGGCACCCACAGCTTCCCGCCGCTCCCTTGACAGCGGAGCTCTGGCTGCTGGAACGGTGGGCCTCCTGGCCGCATCCCCTCTCTGGGCCACAGCTGGCTCCCTGCTCTCCCCTGTTCACACAGTCTTCCTTTGCCCTCTGCTTGTTCCCTGCAGTGACCCTCAGTGGCCTCTGCTGGGTGGCCCTAACACTCCCCCTTTGCTTCCAGGATTTTCGGAAATATGAGGAAGGCTTTGACCCCTACTCCATGGTGAGAGACAACTCCCCTCCCCCAGGACAATCCCAATCCCAGGAATAGAGGGCGGGGGTTACAGTGTATTTGGTGGCAGTGCATTCTGGGCCCTGGGAGTCCTGGGGAGGAGGTGGAGCACATGAGGAGCCCAGGGAGGCCCTGACTGCTCTTCTGTGTGAAGGCTCCTCTCAAACAGCATTCCAGTGTGTGTGTGTGTGTGTGTGTGTGTGTGTGTGTGTGTGTGTGTGTTGTCATAGTTAAACTTGCTGAGAACTATGTACCAGGCACTGTGCTGTGTGTTTATAAAACATGGTCTTGCCCAGTCTTCAAAATATTCCTGGGAAGCAGGATCTGGGATTTGTGTGGCCACCTCTGCGTGTGTGTGTCCATGTGGTCCCCATGGGGCCCAGGACCCCCAATTGAAGACTGATGGGGATAGAACTGGAAAAGTTCCCCTTGTCCATGTGCTCCAGTGTCCCACAGGTGCCTGGCTCCCCTTCCATCCTTGCCCCCCATCCTCAGCAGCTCAAACTCCCCACTGTCTTTTCCCTCCAGTTCACCCCAGAACAGATCATAGGGAAGGATGTCCGGCTCCTGCGCATTAAGAAGGTACCTGGGCACGTGAAGGCTGGGTGGGCGGCTACCCTTTGACCCTGTCCCCTCCCATCTCCGTATCCTGCTTCTACTCTCAAGGTGACTCCTGGACAACCCCTCAGATCCCCACTCTCCTCTTCTCTCCCCCTGACGATGCCCCCTCCTGTGGTGGGACTGCACGCCCAGGCCTTGCTTAGTGTCCGTGTCTCCTTTTCTCCCTGACGGCACTGCCATTAACCCCATGGCTTCTGCTGCCCTCTCTGCAGCCCATCAAGACATTCCTGGGTGCCTAGGTACCCATGGGATGCTGTCTCCTCGGCTCCCTAAAGACGTTTTTTTCTCTAACCAGGAGGGGTCTTTAGATCTGGCCCTGGAAGGTGGTGTGGACTCCCCTGTTGGGAAGGTGGTTGTCTCAGCCGTTTATGAGCGGGGAGCCGCTGAGCGGCATGGTGAGTAGGGATCAGCCATGACCCAGTTTGGTGAGGGTACAGTAATTATACAGGGCCCTCCAGGAAAGCAGACAGCTGCCCACCTAGAGTGGGCTGGAAGTTGCTCAGGAATCCCCCTTCCCCTCAACCTGGGTCCATCCATCCAATCCCACGTATTGCCCTTGAGCATACAATGGTGCCTGGATGGTAGGCACACAGCCAACAAGATTCCACCCTGCCCGGAGGGGCTCCCCACCCAGTGGTGAAAACACGCCAAGCACATTGCCGGGTACTGACTAAAACGGTGCCATCTGCTAAGGGCTGGGAGAACTGAGTGGGTGAGGGAGCTGCGGGAACCCTCAGGGGCCCTAACCCACCAAGGGGAAGGGGGCTGCTGGGAAGGCTCCCGACACTGGCGATGCCTGAACTGAGCCTTAAACGGTAAGCTGATGTCAGCCGTGTGAACGTGGGAAAGAGCTTTCCAGGAGGAGGGGACAGCACATGTAAAGGTGGGAGAGAAACCATCAAAATCTTACCTGTCCTTTTAAAAATGATGAGAGCCAGGGTCTGTCAGGAGCTAACCATGTGCCAGATGCTGTTCTGAGTACCTGCACATACCCTGTGTCTAAGAAGTCCAAGTGTATTCACTGGTTTAATTCTTACAACAACCCCCAGAGTAGATGCTGTTATCGTTCTCATTTTATAGCTTGGGAAACTGAGGCATGAAAAGGCTAAATACTTGTTCAAGGACCCACAGCCAGTAAGCAGAGGAGGCAGGATTTGAACTCAAGAAGTTTTGCTTTCTAGCTCAGCAGGAGTGCCGCCTCTGCCTGGGGCCTTCCACAGCCCTGCCCTCTCCCAGAGGGGCAGGGTGCCCTCTCCCGCCCTGTGTCTCCCTTGGGGCCTGATCTTCTGCTTTGCTTTGATCCTCTTGCCAAGGAAAACACACTCTGCTGGTGAAGGAAGACTCCAAGGGCCCCAGGCACAGACATCAACCCACTCGTCTGTCAGACAGTGTCTAGAACTCTATTAGTGACTTCCTCTTCCAAGACCAGGAGCCCTTTCAGGACTCCCAAGTGTTTTGTGAAGGAATAGGTATCCTTGAAAGAGGAGCCTCAGGCCAGAGCAGGGAATCCCAGGATCAGATCCCTTCTGGGAAGTGCTGGGATGGAGGCAGGCTCTCCCACAAGCCCAGAGGGATAGAATGGAGGGTGGATAACGGCCTGAGGCAGGAGATGGAGTGATGGGAAGTCACCTAATTGCTGGCAGCCACTGCTGCTGTGGGTTACTAAGGCCAGTCCAGCTCTGCAGCCCATGGCTCTGGCGACCTCGGCCCCTCACAGCTGTACTCTAAACTTTCTTTTCGGCTAAAGGAGGCTCGGCTAGGCAGCTGCCATGGCCCATAGCTGCCTGCCGAGCCCATATCCTCCTCCTCTGTCCTGTTTCTGTACCAGTCAAGGGCAGGGGCAGTGCTGTCTACCATGTCTAACAGGGAAAGGCCAGGGTGGATGGCTTACTTTTCCTGGCCCCCCACCTTATGAAGCCCCAGCCCAACCATGTCTTAATGCTCCTGAGGCTCCACCTTGGGTTGGCATAAAAGGAAAAGGTGAATATCACCTCTCCCCCAGGCCCACTGTCCAGGGGCAACAGTTTGGGCCCACACTGCTTTGGGTATACAGGCAGCAGGTGGTAGTTTCTCCAGGAGCATGTGTGTTCTAAGCCATCACAGTACCATCTTTATTAACACACACCGTGTCTCTGTGGCCCTTATGCCCGCAAGCCTTCTGGGTATCTATTTCAGTGTAACTTGGAGAATGTTCTCTGGACACCAGGACTGGGAAAAATTCCTCAAAAAAAAGGTTCTGAAGTTGAAGATGTGTGGGAAACCACACACAATCTACTTCTTGGAGAGCCACTTCTTGGAGAGCCACAATGCCTATTAGCATATTCAAGGCTCTGAGAAGTCCTCCAGTGAGTAATTGTGTTTAGCTTATAAATCAGTTTTTCCTAAACTTATTAGATCACAGGTCATCTTATCCAGGAACACCTTTAACATCATTTATTCAAGAAATACCTATTGAGTTTCTGTTTTACGCTAGGTATTATGTTAAGTGCTGGAGATATAGCAGTGAACCAAAAAGACAGTCCCTGCCCTCAGGAAGCTGACAGTCTGGTGGGAGAGACCATCGGTCAACCAGACATATAGGATTAAAATTGTGAAAAATGGTAGGCAGGAAAAGCCCAGGATGCTCTGAGAGAACAGGGAAGATCCACTTGGGACTGAGTGTGGGTTAGAGAAGCCCTCTCTGAGGAAAAGACATCACCAGACCTAGGAGAAGAGAAGATGGGGTGGGATGGGGGGGGTGGAAATTGTTCCAGATGGAACAGCATGTGAAGGCTCTGAGGCAGGAAAGAACTCAGCCTGCCCAGGGACCTGAAACAGACAGCCAGGGCTGGAGCACAGAGAGGGATGGCTCACAGAACTAGCTTATGTTTCTAAGAACCTCACGGCAAGTGCAGGTTCGCCTCCCTCTGTAATAGAGCAGCTGTACCAAGCTGGGGTGGCAATGCTCCTCACCAGTGTCCCGATTCTCCTGAGCTGGAGTGAGGGTGTGTGGACAGGGTAGGAACCTTCAAGTCACCTGGTGGATTATTTCCCTGTGGACTTTCTGAGCCCATGTGAGCTTTCAGAATCCAGGAGTCAGGCTCCTTCTGTGGCTCCACCGTGACTCCCCTTTGCCAAGCCAAGGGCCAGGCATGTGTCTCATACCAGTTGACCAACCAGCCTTGTCTTCCTGCAGGTGGCATCGTGAAAGGAGATGAGGTCATGGCAATCAATGGCAAGATTGTAACGGACTACACCCTGGCTGAGGCTGAGGCCACCCTGCAGAAGGCCTGGAGTCAGGGGGTAAGAAAACACCACCTCCCTGCCTCCTTCCCTCACCTGCCTACCTCAAACCCTGGCCTCTGTAGCCAGGCCTTGTCATTGGGGTGCCCCAGGGTGGGCATCCAGGGTCCAGGCAACTCCTGGGTGACACTCACATACCCCATTCAGCCAGTTATTACAATCTGACAAGATGGGATTCAGAAAAATAAATCTTAGTTCTTGACCCTGAAGCTGAAAAGCAAGTGGCACAAATGCAAACTCCAGAAGACTAAGTGTGACAATCTACCTAAGAAAAAGACTGGAGGTCTTCTATATGTGCACACTGAACAGGAATCAAGAATGCTTGGGGCTACTAGAAAGCATTAACAAAAGTAGAGGCCCCAGAGTGGAGTCGGGGCTGGCGATAGTCCACATTGTGTTCATTAGATATCCACCCAGGACGTCATGGCCACCACACAAGAGGTCTCCCAGGCTGTACACTGCACAATCTGAGGTGGTGCCCTCCTATAGACTCTAGTGTGAATGGTGCCTGTTCATGTTGTGCAATGCACAACCTGTGCAACTTGTATGCAAGCAGCCAAGCCTGAGGTATTAAGTTCAGTGCCGAGGAAGCTGACCGGATGGGCCTGGTACCCACATGAAGGGATATGGAGAAGAGAAGACACACGGGTAACATGATGACTGTCTTTGATTATCTAAAGGGTTGCATTAGTTAAAGGGAGCAGATGTATTCTCTGTGACTCTTGAGGGCAGAACTGGAGTGGATGGAGGGAGGTCCTGGGGAGATTTCAGTTCCATATTAAGATCTAGCACATGGTAGAAGGGCCCAGTGATACTTCACATACTTTCCTTTGGCTACACCCAAGCCGAGAATGGGTAATGATGACTCAGCCAAGGATGGCAGTGATGCCATTTAGGGGATTCAAGTGCTAGGGTCAGAAATCTAGACTTGAAGCTTTCCAATTGGCTGTACATCAGAATGACCTAGGGAGATTGTTAAAAATACTGCTTTCCAGGGCCTACCCTGGATTTCCAGGGACAAGTCCATGAGTCTAGAGTTTTAAGAAATGCACCAAGTGATCTGAAGCTGCTGCCTGGCCCTTGTCCACAGATCAGCATTTAGGAACTTAGTGTCATTCAAGGGCCTGGAAACCCTGGCGTCTATGGTTCTGAAGCCTCAGAAACTAGAAGCTTCCCCAGACCATGGGACTGCACAGGAGGCCCATCCCCACCAGGAGGACCTCCAGTCCCACCTGGGCCCACCTCCCCAGAGGAAGAAGACCCCAGCCAGCTGACCCTGGGTCACAGTACCCAGGCATGGGAATAGAGTGTCAGGGGCAGACATGCTGTCAACCCCTGAGCATGCTCCAGAGTCACACGGCATTTTCCCACAGGACTGGATTGACCTTGTTGTTGCTGTCTGTCCACCCAAGGAGTACGACGATGAGCTGTGAGTGTGTGCAGGCACCGGGCCCACTGCCTCTTTTCCCGCCTCCTCCAGAACCTTAGGCACCTTCTCCCAGTCCACCCCAGCCTTCTTCCAGCCCGAGGGTTGGCCCAAGCATGCAGCTTCTAATAGTAATCCATCCTGGAAAGTTCCCAGGCTAGAGAAACCTAGAACTAAGTCACTGTCCTCTAGTATTATCAGAGCTGCCTTATGAAAACCTGAGACCCAGAGATGGTCAAGGTCTCAGATCAAACAAATGATGTAGTTGAGACAAGACTCAGGATTTCTGATTCCTTACTTGGAACTTCATCCCCTGTACCATAATTAGCTAGTTTAAAGATTTCTGTCTTTTACTGTTGGGAAGTCCTTCCTCATAGGTAACTCATTCCCTCTTGCTTCATCTCTAAGTGGTCAGGCCCACAGGCTTTGGCCCTACTCTGCAGGATCTCCAGGGAGCCTTGGCCCAGTCTTACTCTTGCTCCGCAATTCCCTATGTGTCTGTCTCTTTCTGTATCTGTTTCATTCCTGTCTCTGTATCTGTGTGGGTCTCATCTCAATGTCTCTGTCTCTATATCTCTCTGTCTCTCTCCTGCATCCTTCCTGTCAGTCTCTCTCTTCCGTCTATCCCTTTTCCTTTCACCTCTCTTCCTGTCTCCCTTATGCTCTCCTTTTCTTGCCTTTCTCCATCCCTGACCGGAGTCCCTCCTTCTCCATCTGTCACTCTGTATCCATTTCTCTCTCTCTGCCGCTGCCTTCGTCTGGCTTCCATCCTCATCACCTCCCAATCCCCCACCCCACCGCCCAAACACTTATTCCTCAGCCCCCTGCTTACCTGTCATGGCTACACTTGCTCCTCTGCCCAGGGGGTCCTGAGTTCTATGTACATCTTGGAGAAATCAAAGTGTTGTAGCAACTAATTCTAGGAACCCTGGGCCTAGGCAAGACCCGAGGCAGGAGCCGAGTGAAGGTCTGGTGGAGCTCTGCCTGGGAATAACAGAGCCTATTTTGTGTTTCCTGCTCTGCTCTGCATCTGTAGCTCTTCTCTTCCCTCCTCTGCAGCCGACAGCTCCCAGCCAGACTGAAAGCTCCTTGAAGACGGTGCTCCCGTGCATAGACACGGGTTCCTCCTGCAGCTGGAGCCTAGCAGCCCCCATGATGAATAGGCAGGCGGGCTGCAGGGCCCCGATTGTCCATGCTGCGTGTAGTGGCCGTCTGTTGCCCAAGCTGGCAGGTTCTTTGGACTGGTATCTGGAAGGGTGTGTAAGGCGCCATCACTGCTATTGGCCACACTGGAATTCTGTTGGACTCAAAGGCCCTCCTGCTCAGAGAAGCCAAGCAGAGACTGTAGCATGCCTGGGACATGAGCATCCTGACTCATCACAGCCCTTGGGACCTGCCACGGGTCCCACACAGCACCCAAATGAGCAGGATGGACAGTGAGCGCCATTCTCGGCTGGGCACAGACAGTGCCTTGAATCAGGCATGATGGGCTGGGTGAGCCCAAAGGAAACACAGCCCAGCTTTTCCCCCAGAGATGTCCTCAGAAATGTATGCCTCCCTTCCCTGGAAATGCCACCCTCTAGGAGCTCCTGCTCCACTAGGCCTCCACAATTAAGCCAGGACAATTAAGAGGCAATTAAGTCTTGTCCAAAGAACCAGGGTTGGCCTATCAGGGTTGTTCATGCCTTGTGTGACCTACTGTGGCCTGAGCCCTGCTTGAACCAAACGGTCCTCTGTGCCTTCCCTCTCCCTTGGCTCCAGACTGTATCTGTGGGACACTGTGGAACCCAACTTTGGGATATGTTTCCCACCCTGTTCATGGAGAGAGTTGGCAGGCAGCCATGAAACTGGTGTTTGGCATGGCCTAAAGCCCACAGCTGGCAGTATCTGGGGCAGACCCAAGCCTGGACTTGTTGACTTTTCTGTTATAAGTTTCTCAAAACACTAGGGCCTCATGCTCCCAAGACAGTTGGCCTGCTATGCCCTGGCCTCTGGGATGGCTTCAGTGGCCCTATGTTTTCTGTAACTTATCTCTTTGCAAGGGACCCCAGGCCCTCTGGCCCCCTTCTGCCTCATCCCAGGTATCCCCTTACTTTCTCCCTGGCCCCCTGCGTGCTGTGTCTGTGGCTGGTGTGTAGCTGCTGTGAGCCTGCAGGACCCTGTGCTGCCTGGGCGGGTGCTCCTGTTGTCAGGCCTGGCCCCAGGCTAAGTGTGCAGCTGCGAGGCTGGCACCACCTGGTCTGCTTCCTCTTCCCCACAGGACCTTCTTCTGAAGTCCAGAAGGAGAAACCAAATTCACCCCTGGAAGCCAGTGAGCTCTGGACCCACCCTCCTAAGCAGAGAGCCTGGAACCAGCCTTGAGAGATGCCAGCCTGCCTGCATCTTGGAAACCTGCAGCTGGCATCAGGGATGCACGCTCCCACTGGCCCTGAAGTAGGCCTGCATAAGGGCCACTCTGCAGGACCACATGGAGGGAGAGAGTAGCCAGCCATTCTGAAGAAGGCCCCTGCAATCCAGACTCTTGTTTCTTTCTTCTGGTTCTGTGAATTTGGTTGCTCCCAGGCCTGGGAGACTCCTCCCTTGAACTCTGATAGGACCTGACTCCTGGGTCTATCTCTCTATTCTCTCCTCTCCCTCCTGCTGTAATTACTGCTAAGGTCACTACCACACACCTTATTCTGAACTCTTTAATAAAATAAACACATTTCTTTTCCAGCTTATGGGAGTGAGTATGGATTTAGGCAGCACATCCAAGACTGTCAAATAAAAACCCATAAGATTTTGGCCCTTTTTCAGTGAAAAACAGAACCAGTCTGAAATGAAGGACATGATCGAGTGGCTCAGAGCAGGGGGCTGGGACAGCAGAAAATGGGCTGGACTGGGCTTCAGTGTCTTCCAGCAGAAAGATGGCAGTAAAGGAAGCCGTGTGGCAGAGACTTTGCTAGATTCCAGAAAGCACAGCTGAAGGCAGAAGCCCCGGAGGGTTACCTCAAAGCATGGGTTGCCTCAGCTTCTCACATAAACAACATGGCCACAACTGCTGCTCTTGAGGTCACCAAGCCACAAGGTGCAGGAGCTCCACTCCATCTGTAAAATTACATCCAGAGGAACCTCAAGGAAAGAGGAAAAGGCTTGAAGCAGGAGGGTGTGACTCTAAGGGGCTGGCAGGGGTGAGCTGAGGCCCTCCTAGTCGCAGGGCCCAGGGATGCTCTCAGGCTAGCTCCAGGAAGAGACAGCTTGTGTCAGCGTAGGCATCTCATGAAAACCTGTGATGAGGAGGCAGGGTCCCTGGGCCTCCTGAGAAGTGGAAGTGGGAGGGGGTTCTTACTTAAGGTGTCCCAGAGAAGCAGCTCTCTCCATTTAAGCCTCCTGTCTCTTCTGCATCATCGGAGGTCAGCCTGAACATGACCTTCCTAACCTTCTGCCTAACTCTCGGTGACCTTTCAGCGGTAGCTCCGACGCCACCGCCTGGCTCAGTCTCCTTTTCCCAACTCCAAATTCCTGAGGCAGAATCTGATTGGGCCAATTCCCCTGAGTGTGCGGCCCTGGGGCCAGGAGCAAATCACAGGTCCAATCATCTGTGGCTGGGTAAGTAGGGTCATTTCCCACCCACAAGGGCAAAAAGTCATGATCAGTGGGGGTGCAGAGAGAGAAAGAGAGAAGCTGGCCTTCTGATCTCAGAGACAAAGTAAAATGACCTTATAACATCTGGCTATTCAGTGATGGTTACCTACTCTTGTGACCTACAAGTACCGCTGCTGAGGCCTTCAGCTTGTCAAATAAAGCCTGGAATCTTCAGCCTAGAATCTCACCATTTGAAATTCATCTTCAGCTATTCTTAGTTATTGGCACCTCAGAGTAAATGAGTTTATCAGTACTTATCAAGACTTGGTGAGTGAGACAATAAAGAGGGCTTTGACCCCCCAGTTGGAGAAGGGCAGAGGTGTGCCACCAGGCAGGGCAGGAAGAGGGAATGAGTGGAGACTGGGGACATGGGTGACGAGAGACCTAAGTCAGAAGTTCACCTAGAGCTGGCAGGGCATGTGGGCTACAAGGGGCTTCAGTTTTCTTTTTTATGAGGCCTGACTCCCTCTTCACCATTATCAGGGAAATCAAGTCTCATGTATTGGAAAGTTGTTCAACATTGAAACCAAAGTACACAGCTCTCTCCAGCAGACAGTGGCATTAACAAGGTAAGCAATAGAAAGGTCCAGAGCACATGCATAGATGTGGGGGCCTAAAGCAGTCCTAACTTGCAGGGGCCATTGGGGGCACCACTGAGGCCAGAGTCCACTAGGGGAATGGGCCAGACATGGGAACCAACTTCAGTGCCAAGACTGAGCATTCAGGACTAACACCCATCCAGGCCAGGGATGGCATACATCACTACTTCAATCCCAGCGCTCTCTCCAACCAGCCAACTGGGTGGCCACTAACAGCTCATGGAATCCGGCCTATATGGTGCCTACTTGCCGCTTTTGAATCTAATCCCTATTATTGGGTATTCAGGAAAACCGAGGCCAAGGAGGGAATGACTTGTCCAGGGTCCCCCTACATTCGTGGCAGAGCTGCCATTTCTACTGCACCACACAGTGGAAACAAAACCTAAAAAGGCTGGGAATTCAAGGATGCCTTTTGACTCTGAACTTGTAGCATTTTACCCATCTCATTGAAGTTGCTTCCCACAGCTGGTCCCCAGGGTTTGCTGGGCTGGCTTGAAGTCTCTCACTTCTGTATCTGGAAGTCGGCGTAGATGGGCTGAGTTTATAGCCTCGGTGCTTCTGAAACACCTGCTTTGGGTCTGTGTAGGGCTGGGAAGCTGATTTTCAGCTGATTCCAGTCTAATTCCCAAGCTTGAGATTTGGATAAGGATCTGTTTCCAGAGCTGAAAGCCCGTTTTTCTTCCTGTCCCTGGAGTGACCCTTCCTGGCTCCCTGGGGCCCAGCCTGGCCACGCCTCTGTGAGAACTGGAGGGGGCAGGAGTGGCCCCTGGGAAAGGCAGGTGGGGCTGGTGCAGGGATAGGGCAGAGGGCTCTGGATGTCATAGCTGCCTTCCTGGGGCCTGGGGTTTGCAGCCAGAAGTCCACACACTGGCCCTGTCAGGATTAAGACTGCTTCTTCTCCTAGGTGTGCAGTGTGTCAAGCAATGTGCTGAGCCCTAAACATGTAGTGACATTTACTCATTACAAGACATTACTGAGAGGTAGACGATGACAGTATCTTCCCTGAGGAAACTGAGGCACTAAGACTTAAGAAGAATGCCTAAGGTCAGACAGTAAGTGCCAGGATGTAGTCTGGGGCAGGCTGGCTCCAGGAGTCTGTGTCATTAAGGCTGGGCTATACTACTTCAGGTAGATGAGAAAGTAATGACATGTAGAATATGATTTCAGGGGCACCAGGAAAAACGCTAGCCATGAAGTGATTCCTCTCTTCTTCTATCTCCTGGCAGCTTCACTGTGTCCTTCACACTGCAGAGTGAGCCAGCAAACTTGGTTTTCCCAAAACTTCTTCAACAGCTTCTATGCTGTCTTCAGAACAAAGGCCAAACCCCTCAGCCTAGCTTTCAAAGTCCTGCATTGCCTGGCCCCTGACAGCTTCTCCAGCCCCGTCTCTTGCCAATCACTTCAGCCACATGGAACCATCTGGTTCCCGGGCTTGCTGCAGCCCGATCACCTCTCTGTGTAGCTGCACATAAATCAGTGTACTCTGTTTTCCTCATGCCCATGTGAATGTCTATGCAGCCTTGAAGGCCCAGGTCAGTTGCCAAAGGGGAACACTGGGCCTGACATGGAATCTGAGCTCAGTGAGCTCCCTCCTGAGATGGACCCTTCAGGTTGTGAGTGACAGAAACCTAATTTGAAGTGACCACTTAGGTGCAAAATCCAGTAGTACTTCATGTCGGATCAGGCTGGATCCAAGTGTTAAAACAATGACATCAGGAATCTGTTCTGGCCATCTGTAATTGTCAGGGATCTCCAGAGAGACAGAGAGAGGGAAGTGAGAGAGGCAGAGGGAAAGGTTTTAATGAATTGGCTCGCGTGATTGTGGGGACTTGGGATACCCAGACTCTGCAGGGTGGGCCAGCCGACTGGAGACCAGCAGAACAGGCCATGTTGCAGCTCAAGTCATGGTGACATTCACAATGGCAGTCTAGAGACAGAATTCCCTCTTCCTCAAGAGACATCAGTCTTTTTTCTGTTCAGGCCTTCAGCTGATTGGATAAGCCCCATCCACATTATGGAGGATTGTCTTCTTTACTGGAAATCTATCAATGTAGATGTTAATTTCATCTATAAAATACCTTCACAGCAACATCCAGACGTGTTTGACCAAACATAAGGGTGCTCTGTCCTGGCCACTAGACACATAAACCACCCGTCACACCATCTCTTGTCTCTGCCCTCTTCTGGTTGTCTTCATTCTCATAGAGGCTCAGCCCATGGGATGGTGAGATGCCCTCCAGGATTCAAAACACATTCCACCACGCGGTTCAACCCTAGGGGGAAAAGCACACCTCTATCCTGATAGCTCAGTCTAAATCCCAGGGATTCACTCTGATTGGCCTGACTTGGGAAAAGGCCTTCCCTGGATGGCCAGGCCTGGGTCACACATCCACCCATGTAACCCCACCAGCTCCCCCTGGGCTGAGTGAAGGATAGGGTGGCTTCTAAAACCAAAGTGGGGTGCTGTTGCAGAAGAAGGGGAAATAAATCTGAGCAGGCACACAGCAGTGTCCACTAAGGACCTCAGTTCCCCAAAGCTCCCTCCCTCCCTCCTTTGCCTCTGTTCTTCCCTTTAGCTCCCCCTGTTACTCTGTGAGGAACCCGTGGCTCTCAGGGCCAGGGGCTAACCCCCTGGTGTGTGGAGCCCTCACGCAATCCCAGCTGCCAGGGCTAGGTGCTCAGCCGCCATGTGGGGACAAGAAGCAGTGAGATGAGAGGTCCGCGCTGACCACTGAATTCCGAGAGCTGGGGTACAGGGGTTCCAACACGTGTTCCCCAGATGTCCTGAGAAATGAGAACTGAACTCTGACCTTGGGCACATTACTTAATCTCTATTGCCATTTCTTCAACTTTACATAAAAGGGTTATAAATAGTACCTACTTCATAGAATTATGAGAATCTAAAGGAATATAGAAAAAGTTCTTAGAAACAGTTCTTAGGAAAAGTGCTTAGAAAACAGATCTCAAACTAATGTTAACTTATAAAAAAATCTGGGAAAGATGCTGTAGGAAGAGAAGCTTGGGGTCCTCT